CTACTCCCTATCACCCATGCAGCAGGTTCTTTTTTGGTTTATCCACTGCAGTCACACCATCAGCATTATCATCACTCTGCTATCCTGCAATCCAATAAGCTGGCAGGTCTGACTGACACAGTCGGAGGTTTACAGAACCCTGCCTTCTCTCACTGACCCCTGTCTTTTGACCATGGAGCGTATATTCAGGTAACCCTAACCCTAATTAAGCGGCGGGAGGGGGAGCTATGATGTGGGGGTCATTACCCTGGGGTCCTTCGGTTTCATGTCTGAGGCAGTAATGGGGCGTCCAGCAAGGTGCCTGAAATCGACAGCCTGCCGCTCATGTGGAGCCGGCACCGCCTTTCCATACCCCCCTTCCTTCATTCAGCTCTCTCTCTCTCACACACACACACAGTCATGTATCCATATCCTTATGAGGACCGCTCATTCATTTCTATGGGAAAAATGCTAATGCTAACTATGACAACCTTAACCCCACCCTGCCCTAACCATAAGTAACCAAACAAAATACAAGAGTTTTTGCATTTCTAGTTTTTTCATAGCAGTCACAGATTTTTATCTAGTGCTTTCCCATATGGGGTAAAAAAGACAGGTATTCATCACATTGTGGGGACATTTGGTCCCTATAAGGTAAGGTTACCTGGACCCCAAACACACACACACACACACACACACCATATCCAGGACCAGCATTTTATGACGGAGCTGCCACGGGCATGACTGCCACGGGCTTCCTTGCTGACGACCGACGCCTTTAACGACTTCCACAGACCCGCGGCGATGGCTACCAGACGACAGTCTCGACAAGGTTTTTGTGAGACCCGCCATAAAAAGAAAGATGAAAACATGAAAAAAATAAAGTTTATGTGTCGTTTTAGATTCTTCCACAGCCGTGGCCTTTAAGGAGGACAGAAAAAGAGCCTGGATTTGGTTTCCGTTAGGGCAAAAATAAATAAATAAATAAACATGGGCCGTTTTGCAGAAACAGAAACGGAAACGTGAAAAGGGACCTGAACCCAAGAGCTAACTGGTAATTACTGAGGATCCCAAAAGTGCTGATCTTTCCCTAAGGGCCAGCGACCCATCCAGTACTCCCATCCCGATGACAGTGACGTGACAGCATGGGATTATGGGTTCATGTGGGGTTACCACAGCTGTGAGGCCTGCATAAACAGCAGTTAGGCCAAGCGAACGCTCGACGGTTAGGGGTGGTGGCCTTGCTTCAGCACGGGAGGCCAAGGCCAAGACGATTCAAGCTGCACTTGTGACCACAGAGTAGACGGTCCCACTCATTATCCGGGTCTTGTATAAAACAAGTGGGAGTGTCACCGATGTCCCCCCAGGATGCAGCCCACCCTACAACCCCAAGGTACCGGGGACAGGTTCCAGGTCATAGTAACCCTGACTGGCCTATTCATGAGAAACAAGTTTGTTCACAGCTTGTACAGAATTAATCCTTTGGAGCTGACTGTTTGGTGCAAGCAGTGCGAGGCAGAATCAAGGCCAAAAACAACATGTGATGGCAACCAACACACAGTATATTTCAGCCGTGGCAAAAATCCTGAGAGTCTTTGCAGCCAAAAGTACAGTGCATCCACTGGGGAGTCACTGACCACATGGAGGGGACCACAGCTGTGTCACCCCCCCCCCCAGCTCCTAACAGAAAAGAAGGATCCAGGACGCCTTTCCCCAGCCTTAAGGGGTCCCAGCACCAGAACCGAGCAGCCGGCTCAGTGCTGGAGCCTCGGCTCAGCAGAACAATGTGGCCCTAATCCCCATCCACCACCACGGAGGGGAACTGGCCTATATTTTACAGCATTTAGCCTAACTCCTAATTACAGGCCCCTGTAATTTCTCTAAAGTAATGTGCATGCAAAAAAAAGAAAAGAAACACACAGTTTCCAAAAAGAAGGAGTGTGACAGGCAGCCAAGGGAAGGAAAAGAGAAAGAGCGCCTGGAGCGTCAATAAGGAGCGTGTGGGTCACGGCGGCCAAAGCAGACACAGCTGTAATTTGGATTGTGGGAGTTTCATGGTGCTGCACCACATCAAATCACAAGTTGCCAGTCAATATGTTTCATGGACCAATAAACGGAAAAAAAAAAAATCGAAACATCATGGTTTACAAAACACATACACCTAGACAGAAAACCCGGCTAATTTACAAAACAAATACGAGACTGGAAAACCAGGCCTGTTTACAAATGAGCCTATTACCAACCACTGGAGACTACAGCCTCAACATGGTGCGGTGAGATTTGTGAGCATTTACTTCACAGTTTGCACAGAGGTTAGAGGAAAAGCTCTTCGCCCAATTCCCAGCACTCCGACCCGCAAAAGAGAGCATGTAGAGCTACAGCGCGACTGTCGCGGAGAACCACAGCCCAGCTCGGATGCCTCACGTTTGAGCAAAAGGCTATTTTTGTCTATCTGAGTTATCCATTAGTCACAGAGGCAGCATGCTCACTTGGGCTGAGGAGAGAAGATGGACACAAGAAGCAGCGCCAGTCAACCCAGTAGGTGACACAGGCGGCCGCCTAGGGCACCATCTAGAGAGGAGGCACCAACTTAGCAGACCGCCAAGGCCCACCCACCATCCCAACGCCCCCGATGAAAGGAGCTTGTAGACCATCTGAGACAAAGTGAAATTAGGCAGTGAAGTTTGCTCGGTGGGGGGAGGAGAGGGGGGTGCACCAGCACCAGCAGCACGTTTCTCCATCTCTCACCAGGATGGCATGTTGTGCCAGGGGCTCTTGGTGTCCATAACATTAATCGGTCCAGTTCATTTGTTAAGTCAGTTAGAAAAAGACACATGACAATGGACAGAGAGGATGAACAAAGGAATATCTGGACCCATTCGCTAATGCTGCATGATCAATTCCTTGTCTGCGCTGGTGCTGAAGTCACCAGGAGCCATTTTAGATTGATGGCATCCGGGGACCAGCATTCCCCATCACGGCATCGGGAGGCTTTCCTCGGGCGCTTCACGTCCGTTTTGTGGTTCCCCAAGACCGCCGCCTAATTACAACCGGTCCGGGGCGTGGATCTGGAGCACGCGGTAAAGGCTGCGTGCGTCTCTCTCTGTTTGTTTCTGTCGGCTCTCGTCTCCCGTCTCCTCTCCGGCGGATCTTTCCCGTCTCCGCCGCCGGAGCGGGTCCGACTGTAAACGAGAGCCAGACCCTTGTGGTCGTCCACAGTATCCTGAGGATTGCGTGACTTGTGGGCTAAGGGGTGCAGAGAGGGGTTTGGAAACCCTACGATCAGACAGATGGAAAAAAAAAAACGCTATTTAACTTTCAATTAGGACCTGCGTGACTTTCCAGCCACCTAAAATAAATGCTTGACGCACTTTCTGAGAAGAGCTGCATCTCCGCAACTGCTGACATTTGAGCTATGACCGTACTACAGAAACTAATGTCTCTCTAAACAGCAAACATCTTAATAGCCCAACAACCTTTTTAGGGAGCCTTTGAAAAAGGTTCAGGTTTAGGCAGTGATTGATTATCTGACAGGATCATGCAGGAATGTTATGAAAAACACCTTTTGCACATTCTCCCTGTGCTCAAGTGCTCATGGACCTTCCGGAGGGGAAAACATGACTACTAAGAGCAGTTTGGTAAGAAAGCTAGTTTGATTTAATCCATTTAAGGAAAGCCAGCAGGTGGAAGGTAGGGTGGTCACATGGCACAGGTAAAGCTAGCTGTCAGCCTCAGCCATTCAAAACAATTTCCGTTTCCAATATTTTTCTCAAAGTTCCCACAGGCCACAGCGGAGAACCCAGCGTGAACAGAACCTCAAACTATGTGACACGTGGGACTTACAGGACTTACACCGGTTGTCTCCGTCCCTCTCAGACCACCCGCGATTGCCTCGGGGATTTAAGCTTTTAGGGTTAAGCATTTATTGATGATCAGCAACAGCATTACACTGAGGTCCAGGCCTGGTTAGTGGACCGGAGCTCAGACAGGCAGCACTGTAACCTGCTAAACAAATTCCTTAAAAACAAAAAGTGCATCAGAAAGACAGAACATCAGCAAGCACATGACGCACTAATCAAGAGTGAGAACCAGTGAAGCCAGTCCCAAGACACATAAATGACTAATATGACAAACAGCTTGATGGCGTCAAAAGAACTTACTGCCCCCTACTTGGCCAGTAAATAATTAACAGAATTGCTGGATTAAATCCCTTTCCCTTTAGGATGTGAGTCTATTCCTCTCTGGCCAATAAGACCGCCCCACAGTATATTGGGGGGGTACAATCAATAATCAAACACCATCCACTTGCATCAGATGAATCTACATTTGGGGCTGATGTCACAGTCATGGGAATGTTTTGGCACAGGGCCAGCAGACATTCAGCAGCCCACTAATCATAACTGCAGCCTGTTGCTAAATGCCATTTTGGATGCATAATAACGCAAATAAGGAAACAGCTCTCAACTTCAACCAGAAACCTTTGATAATCCAAACAACATTCACTGTGTAGATTGGAAGCTGCGTTGGTTTCTATTGTGCTTGTTTGTTTTGAGGTGTTTCTGACAGGGGTCTCTAATCTGCAGAGTGTGGCGGCAAGGGCCACGGGGCCCGTGGGCTTATTAATTACCTGCCCGACAAATGTCTTTACATCTGACTCAACATCTGACTAAATTACAAGCCAAATAACCTTCAATTAAGTAATTAAGAGGTACTGAAGGGTCCCATTCTCTCTGAGTGACAATTAGGCTTTAATGGTCTCCCAGGGACCCCCGAAGATTCAAATCACAACTAAAAAAACACTAATTATAATATCTAATCATGATATGAAGCAGATGAATGCTCATATGCAAGGGTAATTCCGATACAGCTACGGCGTTTCATTGCAGGCAGACAAACAGCAGATGTGTAAGTATTCAAGGGAGTCTAACGGGTACATTATAATCCGCGTTTAGGGCTAATCCTGCAGTTCCCGCTTTAATTAAAGCCGCTGACAAATGAGATTCGCTTGGCTCTGGGCAGGACACCGCAGTTAGTTTCGGTCACAGACTGACAATGGATGTTATCGATATTACCAGCAAAATTAAGGTAGCATTAATTAATATAACGCCTTTTGTATAATTCTTGATACACATGCATTGATTTTCATTCAGATTCGGAGGATCATCTTTTCATCATTTTAAATGACATCGTTACTTCAATTCAACGTGTCACTCAAAGAAAAAATAGACATTGACATAGTATATGACTGCTGACTGATATGCACGTATTGGTGCTGCCTCAATCTGCAACTATAAACACATCATAAACTCATCATAAAATTATCTATCGAAGACCTAGCTTCAAATAAGGAATGTCCACTGGCAGCTTCACTTATGCCAGCCAGGTACTGCGCTGATCTGTGCAAACTGCTCCTATTACTTTCAGGTTGCTGGGTCCCGGCTCCCTGCCTGCCGGACAGTGGGAGCCGCAGATCCGCCCTCCGCTTCGCAGCGGCTCCCACAAGCGAAGCCAAAAGTAGACAGCTCCGGACAGACTAAGACCCCGCCATCGGCACAGAGTGGATGCTCACTGGATCTAACTGGTGACTAATCTGTTACCCAACCATTAGAAATTAAACTTAAACATAGCACTGCTGTATAACTGCTTACTTTAAAAAAATTATCACTCCGTTCAAACGGATCAAACGTGTCAAGTCACATTAAAAAAGAAACTAACATGCAAATTTGGGAAGAAACATTAATCTACGAGCACGCATATAGAACTATGACTTTACGTCATTGAAATAACAGATTTTCGTGTGTGATCCTGGGTGTCGAAAAGCAATCAAAGTTTGTCGGGGGCAACAAATGTTCATCGGTGAAGCTTTGAAGGATCCGCATCACTCCGCGTACAACTTGAATTTAACATGCAGACTCAAATCTGCTCCCCCTTCTCATTGCCCCTCTGCATTTACATAGTTCTGGACAATATCATCCCAAATTACAAACAATGCGATGAGGCTAAATAACCAATTAACCAGTAATTAATGTGCATCGTACCTTGTGTGGGGCTTTAAGAATCCTGTGGACTCCGGCTATTTGATTTATTAGCGCAATATCCTCCCTGAACGTGTAGAGCGGCGGTCTTGTTGGTTCCGGAAAATTAGTGCTATTGAATGGATCGGTGTCATCTAAAAATTGAACCCTGCATATAAAGGTAGCCATGATGTAGCCATGCAAGAGCAATCATAAAAAAAACCTTACGCCGGCTTCATAAAAAAAAAGATGGACCCTTCGCTTGCGAGCTCCCGGTTGCGTGTCTGATAATAATGTAACAGCTTGCAAAGTTAAGCTGCTGCAATTCCTCTTCAGTATACTTATCCCGCGAGCCAATGCAGTGTTTGCTTCATAGATAAGTTGCGTAGACTAGAAGAAATACAGCCACGATTAATTATAACAGAGCATCTTGAGATCCGGGATTTCTTCGTCCTTTCAGTTAATTTTCACTGTCCCATTTTATTCCTAATGCTCGTGTATAAATATATATCTCTCTCAGCGCTGTTGAGTCGTGAAGGACTGTAGCGTTCAAGGACATTACGGAGCAGACAAGGTGCTGCAACTGCAGCCGGGAGTTGACTGCCAAACTCGGCGTCTGCAGAAAACTCGAGGGGGGACCAGGAACAACCCCCCCACCTACCCACCCCATCAGCCGCAAAACTCGGGGAAGCGGTGCTGCCATTCCACGCGATCTTGCGACACCTAGCGGATATCGCAAGCATAACTCAAAAGAAAAAGAACGGCTTTTTATAACCCCAGCTCTTAAATATCAAAGCTTTAATTGCATAATTAAAATGGACATCCAATGTATGAGTACTCGGTTTTATTTAAATACATTTTTAGGCTTAAAACGAATGAGGTATACGCATAATTTCTTTTATTCGCCCTTGGAGTTTATGCAAAGAAGATCAATAGGTTTTTTCAGTTAATAAATTTCCGTTAATAATATTATTAAATAATAACGTCTTGTTCATTTTGTAACAGCTGCGATGCAAAGAACGACCAAACGTACTGATCAGATTTTGTCACATGACAAATTGCCCGCCTAGACAAAGATTTAGCTCAAAGACTAAATTGCGGCTACTGTGAGATAATACAACCTATTGTTTAAAAAAATCTCGGTTTCCAAAGTAACCCCGACAAGTACACACAACAGGGATTACCGCGTAGTGAATACAAAGTATCAAGAGCTAACTTTCAAAGTGATGGAAGCTTTGTTGCCACCTCCTTCGAAACGCACACCCCAGGGTTGCTATTGCCCCAATGTGCTAAGATGGTTGTCATTAGCAACACAGCTTGTCTAAAGGAGTAGACCAACGCAGGCAGTGAATCCATATTAATCGGAAGATTTATACATTACCGCAACGCAGTGTTAAATAAAACATACTGAGGGAAATCAGTACAAATAATAGAGGAGCAAAAATCCCGAAAATGCTAAACGGAAATCTTGGTCAGTTACAAATCTCCAACTTTAGCAATTAACGTGACATCAAAACACGTTCTTAAAATGCAGATTTAGTAATAATATATTAATTATGAGCGAAGAGCCACAATACTCTAACCAAATACGGCACTGCAGCCAAAAACACCGTATAAAAATGTTCCAACTGCAATTTTGTAATTGGTAAAAAGTCAACCCATTAAATAATGTCGGTATATTTGTATTTTCAGCTTATTTTGATATACATCGATGGATGCTTCAAATTCGCTTTTTTTTTGTTCTGAAATAATGGCAACACTATAAACGGTGCAGGGCAAACTAACAGCTGCAATGTTGTGAAATTCTGTATAAATTTAATTTGTATTGCTGTTGTAGAAAAATCGCATTTATTACATGATGTGTGGTTGTGCGTGATGTGTGCCCTGTGATGGACTGGCATCTTGTCCAATGGTCCCTGCCCTGTGTCTTTTGCTTTCTGAAATCAAGTCCAGGGGTCCTGGTTCCCCGCGACCCTGTACAGGAAGATGGATGTATTAAGAAATATCCCAACAAATTGCCTTCTAACTGCCTGTTAAATTTTCCCTCCTTCAGTGTTCGACTTCAGCAAAATCGTAACTTGAAATACAATTTTCAAATAAATGTGGGTTTTATCCTGGATTCTTTTAAGACTTATAATGGAGACTATTATAAAAGAAAAGTTATAAAGCACATAACCGGTAATAAAAGAGAAACATTATTTGTGGACGGATTCAGTGTTATTGGTATACGGCTTTTCTGGGTAACATTTTTTTCCTACTGGAGTAACGATTTGGACTCCAAATCACTGAACGTTTTGAGTGGTCAGTCACGTGGCAATTAAAACATATTTCTTAAAATTCCTTGAGGATCATTGACGTGCTTAAGGGTTTTGGTTTGGCTCCCTTTCAGCTGCGATGCCATCTGTGCACCACTAGAGGGAAGTATTTAGGGGTTAGATGGAGAAGGCTACGATTGTACTGTATATAGACTGAAAACTAATGTAGGTGGCGGATTCAAAGAAAGTTTGACTGAGGAAGTCTGGAAATACCTGCATTTACATGATTCCTCGCTATGGGATTATAAAGATTCCCAGATGGCTGCAAACTAAGACCTGCAGGCAGCATGGGAGACCGGCAGGCAACATGGAAGACCTGCAGGCAGCATGGGAGACAGGCAGCATGGGAGACCTGCAGGCAGCATGGGAGACCTGCAGGCAGTATGGAAGACCTGCAGGCAGCATGGGAGACCTGCAGGCAGTATGGGAGACCTGCAGGCAGCATGGAAGACCTGCAAGGCAGCATGGGAGACCTGCAAGGCAGCATGGGAGACCTGCAGGCAGTATGGGAGACCTGCAGGCAGCATGGGAGACCTGCAGGCAGCATGGGAGACCTGCAGGCAGCATGGAAGAAGCAGCGGTACATATTACGCGAAGACAGCAAGAGACGTGCAGCTTGTCTGCTGGTGCTGCGGGAGGAAAGGGCACAGGTACTGCCTGCATCAGAGCTTCCAGCAAACGAGCAGAGAACCATGGAGCGAAGAAGGTGCCGCTCCATTCTGTGGAGGAGCCTTGGACCCATGCAGTGCACCCTGGAGCCTTCCCTGCCTGCCCACCGGACCCCCGTCCTTCCGCATTGCACCCTGAAGCTGTTCCCGTCAGCCCACTGGACTCACGCCGGAGACGGTGACGTCATCGGGTGAGGAAGGCTAGCTCTTCAGCAGACTCTGGCTGCTCATTGGCCATCGAGTGCACCCCGCTCTTCAGCAGACTCTGGCTGCTCATTGGCCATCGAGTGCACCCCGCTCTTCAGCAGACTCTGGCTGCTCATTGGCCATCGAGTGCACCCCGCTCGTCAGCAGCAAAGAGCCACGGCGTGAGCCCAGCTGCGAGCAGGTACCTGTAATAAGGTAACATTTGACTGAGGTAACCATATTTAGTGAAACTGGCATATATTGCAGATGTCTGGCCTTTCTGCGTCTAATAGCAAATCTTCTAGAACCCAGTAACCTTTAGAGGGAATGACCAACATTATGTGATTCAATATAAAACCAGCTTTTGCTGCCTACCTGAATACAATCTCGATATTGTCAGGCAAACAACACCGCATATTAGGACATATTTTAACAAGGCAATTAGTACAACGGCTCAGAGAGTGCATGTGAACAGAGCTGTATCTCGATCTGTGCAAAATCTTATCGACTCACGCCACTAAGTCTGTACAATGTGCATTGTTCACATTTTACACTTGTGGAATCAGCAAATTAGGCACTTGAGGAAGTTCAGAGATGTTTACATTATGGGAATTTTATCTTGTAGTTCCGTGATTACATTAAAATGGCAAGACTACCTTTCAAAAGTCATGTATGTAGTATTATGTAATCAACACCTGACGGTAACATTATACTCTACATACGTGATATTCGGCACTCTGAAAAAATATTTTTCGATTCAAATAATTTAATTATTACTAATGGCACTTTCTTAATCAGGAAAAAATAAGGAAGGCTTAAATACTTCTTTTGAAATTTGATGCATTATTCTAAAACCTTGTTTAAAAAATACTCTTCAAAGTGTCGATTATAAATCAGGTGATCTGTAGTGACACGGAGAAGTGTGTCATTTTCCCAAAGAAAGTGTCCTTGCACCACCCTCAGTAGATACTCACCACGGCTGACCATGAGCTCCCCACAAGCCCTCCGCTTTGGAGATGCTCTGACCCAGTCATCTGGCCATAATGATCTGGCCCAGTGTCAGAGTCAAAGATCGTTACCCTTGCCCACTTCTTCTACATTCAACATGTAGACTACAAGTACCCAATATCAGCTTTCTATCTAATATATCCCAGACCATGACATGCACTTTTTACTAGATAGTCAACATTATTCGCTTCACATGGAGAGTGGCAATAACATTCATGCTTTCAGTTTACTAAATTGCACATGGGTACTTTATGCATTTCTGTGCCACATATGGTTATATAAAGCCTGTATTTTCTTTGCATTACTTGAAATTCGACAGTCTGCAGGTGACCAGCACAATTAAATGCTCATGGGCTGTGATCTGTACAGCTGCACCATCACGGCAAAATTTCCATGTGTCTGTTTGTTTCACAGAAATTCATCATCCCAGCATATCAGCAGCATGTTGTTTACCATGAGCCAAACTAAAAGACTGGATTCATCGCCGAGTGTGAAAACAATCATAAGTGGACCGTTCCCATGGCAACTCCACCACGTGCGTCCTCAGTCCTCTGAGTCACCTTAACCTCAAAACAGTTCGACGTCAGTCTGGTCTTCGATAAAACAGTGTGTGATGACATCCCAATGACCATCTCAATTTTCCAGACCCACAATGACACTTTAAAAATGAAACAATAGTCAGGCATGAAGATGTTCCTCTTCAACCTGTACATCCATCCAACATTTCCTTGTACTCCACTTACTGTCTAGAAGCTAGCACTGGGATCTCTGTTTATAATACCATGTGTTACAGCTAGAAGACCTTTGGGGGAAAAGTCAGCAAGGTGTCTCAAATAACATTTCACCTGAACTGCCTTGTGCACACTCCTGCAAATGGATGGTGGGTCTTTGGATGGATGGACAAACTATAAGATTATGCAGGTTACTGAGAACAGAGGACATCTGGTCTTCAGAGAGAAGAAGACAGCGCTTCTTACAATTCTGCCCCCAAACAACACAGTGTTCCTCAAATATCAATCAGCCCTTAACAAAACACAAAATGAGCAGAAGATGTGTATTCTATTTGAGAATTATAACACGGAATTATGACTGAATTAAATAACTGGCACCCACAGTACCATTCGCCCTGCTAAAACAGTACTGTTACAGTAAGACGTGAACAATACTGAAGGCACTGACATCATTATTTGTTATGATACATACACATGTGGTTAGAGAAGATGCCAGTATTCACAGCATCTCTATCTGTTTTTGGTGATAGCACTTGCGGTGAATCTTAGTAACACTCCAAACTGGTACATATTTGTCCTTGAGGTGGGGGCGGTGCCGTGTCATAGAAAAGGGAGCCCTCTGCCCTGCTCACTGTCCTTAAACACTGATCATCACCTTCCCGCCCCCGGGGAGAGAGGGACACCGTATAGTTAGTGACAGTTAGGCCCTTAACCCCCAGCTCCCTGGGCGCCCCAACAGGTGGCCGCCCTTCACAGACAGCTTGTTCTACAAAGAGCAAGTTGATGGAGGCGTAAAAAGAATTTCCCCATGAGGGACAATAAAGATTAAATTAATTATATACAGTACAGCGCTCACAGAAAGTCTTGGGACGCTTGCTTAATTCCGTAAAAATGTTGCAAATTTTTTGGTTTCATAACATAAGTCCATTGACATGCAATATTTGACCTGCACATATCTTCCACACAGACATTTTCTTTTTATTGTTTCTTTCATTTTGAATGATTCATTCAGTTCTGTCCTTTTGCTATCAATTGCAATTGTAGTAACTGGCTCCCAAAGGGATACTAAACACAAATGTTGCGTTTTATGTTATTGCAAAGGTTTTACTGATTAAAAACAGCCAATGCAACCGCTTGTCAATTAACATTTTTAAGTGGAATAGCTCTTTTAGAACTATAATTTGGGTTTTAGTGTATTACTTCTTGAAATTTATGTTTACTTAAAACCACTGGTTGTTTCTAATGTGATACATATTTTTGTGAACATAAGATGAGTAATGATTTTTGTTAAATAAATTCGCAGTATCCTTACTGAGTGTCCACTGTAGATCAGAGCTCTTGGTCGAACAGAAGCTGGCATATCTGGGTTCCCACCTACCTGCGTGATCTTAAAATGATTTCTCTTTTCATATAGCTTGTCTATACATTGTGTATGTTGATTTTCATAGTTTATGTGGCTATATGCTGACTCCCTGAGGGGGGGGGGGTCAGCGCATTTCTCGCCAAGTCTTTTGCTGCTGCATTTCTATTATCTTGCGAGTATAATTTGGCAGAACAGTGTGAAATCCACGTCTCATTCTGGGCTGCTCATGTCCTCAGATCGTGTACACTGTATCACGCACTCTGCGCGCGTCAGCGGTTTTTATGTACGCTGCTGTCTTATCTCGCATTTCTTGCGTACACAGTTTAGCTTGCGGCTAAGTGCTAGGAGCTGTGTGTCCCGGCCAGCTTATCAGTAACAAGCTCGCAATTCATCTCAGAAGGCAACTTCTCGTCATTCAAAAAATAAATCTGATTCTTGCAGAGAAAGCATTTAAGAAAAGTGCACCTCTACTTTATAACAGGGTGCTGCAGGGTGTGGAGATGAAAGATCTGAAACTGTGGTCAAAAGGGGAAGTTAGTTCAAGTCCCAGAAAGGACCTGAATGCCAATTAACTGGAATTACTTAAAATTAATACCCCGCAGTAAATTAGAACAGTGGTCACTGCCAGCTAGTGTTTAGGCAAATCATTTTTACATTGAGAACCGGAAGCAAAGACTGAGGTGTACAGAAGTGGTAGAATAATCAGTAAGTGTTTCCAAAATGTTTCATTTTCCAGCTGGAATCCATCCTGGCGTTAATTTCAGATGCTCTTGTTTAATCCGTCAGACCATTGTAGCCTTTACAAAACCCAGTGTATAAGAATGTTGGTATTATACACTCTTTCCGTGAATCATGTGCAGCTTTTTTGCCGTATGCCGATATTAACATCCACCCAAATCCTAGTGATGGTTCTTGTCTCTGTTCCTGTCTTTTCCACCATACAGCTACAGCCACAGCAGCAGACAGCCGAAATTGTAAGACTCCCGCCCATAAAATGGTACCTGTTTGTTTTCATTCCTTAAAAGAAAGGGTATAGCAGTGCTGTTCCTACCAGGCTCCTTGGGGAAAGGGTTTAGGCTGACAGTGAACAGGGAACGTCGAGTAAGATTCGATTCAATTCAATTCAATTCAATTCAATTCTTTGTCCCCAGAGGGGTCGCACAGAAATGTCATTGACACACACACACTAAAATGCTAACAATCTAAAACAATCTATTGACAATATACTGACAATCAAAAAAAATTAAAGTCAGAAAAAAAATAATTTAAAATCAGTCACACTGACATATTTAGCAGATGCTTTTGTCCAAAGGAGGACAGCTTGGGGCAGGATCAGCTGGTATCCAGGGTCTCTGCAGCTGGTGGGGCTAAGGGTCCTCAGAAGGACCTGAAGGAGATAGGACTGCTCTACCAGCCGAGACACCGCAAAACAACTTGACTATTAAAAAATCCTGTATTTTGGTTACAGTTGGTATATGGAAAAAAAATATTAAAGCATCTACGTCCAATGAGTGACATGCAGTAAATGTTTGCCATTTTACGTGTCAACAATATTATCTGACTGTTAATCATTGTTGGTTCAATCAATAGCAGGTGCTAACCCTACCGGGCACAGGCTTCCTCCCACAGCCCAAGCGCATGCAGGAAGGGGTCCTGGCGTGTCTGAATTGCCTATTGGGTGCCTGGAGATTTCCATCCCATCCAGGGCCTGCTTGTCTGAGCTTTCTGGGATAGGCTGTAGGCTTTCTGTACATAGGGTGCATGAATGGAGGTTAATCATTGCCTCCTCGTGATCTATGTACAGGTGTAATTGAAATGGCTAACTGTCTGTTAGATGCAGGCTTTCTGAGTAATGAAATAAGTAAGCCTGAGTAAATAAACTGTCATCACGACTGGCTACCGGTTAGATGCTGAGGCCGGAGAACCAAAAGACACTTATTGGCTTGATGTCGACCAGTGACAGCAGGTACTCTGGCCCATAAATATAATCTTATGGTAGGCCTACACACACAAGGTATGCAGGCAAAATAATGACATTTTCATGTACCAAAAGCCCTAGCCTGTTACCCCTATACCCAAGGGCGTAACTTTGGCTGGAACATTGGGGGGGTTGAGGTCTCCGCCCATTATGGGGGAAACATGATTATTGGGGGGGTTGTATTAGCTGGTTTTGATTTTTTGGGGGGGGCTACAACCCCCCCATCCCCCACGTAATTTACGCCCATGCCTATACCCCTATACAGTAAGATACACCACTCCATGTTCCATGAACGCTTTTAATGTTGATCTTCTGGTTATTGAATAGGGTCTTGCTGTATTGGAAGATGCAGTGTAGCTCTTGCTCCAGTGCTGTTTGCACTTGTACCTGGACATTCACTGGTAGCTCAGCCTAGCTGCACTTACGCCTTGACACTTGACACCTTACTTGTACGTTGGTCTGGACAAAAGGGTCTGCTACATAAAATAAATCTTATATAAATGTAAATACTCACGGCCCTAAAGCCATTTCTCTTTTCTAATCTGTGCTGGATATATAAAAAATCGATTTCAACCCAATGTCTGCTAAGAGCTCAGAGCTCTCTATTATGTGCGTGGCAGTTATCTTCGAACAGCATGACGATTTCACTTATCAGCTCTGCCTCTACTGTGCTGTCCTCCAGTTCGCACCCATTTAAATACGCTGCCAGCGATTGCATACTCTTTCATCGGATGGTACTTCAATGTTAGCTTGCATTCCAGAAAGAAGGGCGTCCAGCATCAACCCTTCTCCGAATCGTTACTCAGGATTAGCGGAGTCCTCCGGCGGAGCAAACCCCCGCACTGCCAAGCCGCGGGGATGTCCGGGGCGGGGACCTTACCGCCTATAGCTGGAGAGACAGGAGCAGGAGATAAGGAGAGCGCTGCAGCGCGCTTCCAGCCTGGGACATCCGCAATACGACGAATCAATTCCCATTTACAATACGGGGGGGTAATAACGTGCAGCTTACAAAACGTCTTGTATAAAAGCATGACAGATAAACAGCTTTCGGATACGGGCTTGCCTGAACTATAATGTTCCCTTAGGGTGCTGTATGACCAGTGACTTTTAGAGAGAAGTGGGTAATAGTACGTGGCTTGTTTCTAAGTCATCCACGCTTCTCACATTAAACGGTCTCCTTCATCATTACCTTTTGACATCGCGTCATTGACCAGCACAGTCCATTCAGCTAAGTAACCGTGGTCGCTACCGATTTCAAGCGACTCCATCACATGACAGCAGATGTTTTACTCAAGCTAGACCAAACCTGAAGGTTGCAGGGTTACATCCCAAGAAAGACCCTTCCTTGCACCCTTGGACATAGATGCTAAATATGAATTTTCCCAGTAAAAAATTAACATGAATAAATGTGTAAAAGTTATCATAAGCCATACGGTAAGATATATGCATTTAAAAATGTACATACTAACCGTATTCACATTATATTTTTAAAACCTTGTTGAAGGTCTTGTTAAATGACATTCAAAAACATACTGGTGAAACAGTTTACACGCATTTTTTTTTTTAATCGCCATTCATATAATCATACTGGTTTGCTATTTCATAATAATCACAAATTATTTATACATTAAGCTTTGCTGAGGAAACAATACCGACTGTTTGAATAATCGAATAATTGGTTCCGTTCATCATTTCCTTCCTGCTGAAATACTTGATCCTCCTCTAGGGGAAGTCAACAGCAGAGACCTTGAGATGTAGATCTGAGACTCCACCCCACTCAGACGAAGGGAAATAATCAGCAGGTATTCCAAGGTTTGAGACACTTCAGAGACTCCTTCAAACTGAAACACAGGAGCCCACAAGGAGACACCGCTGTGTGATCTGAACATCATCACCATGAGCACAGAAAAGTCAGGCGACCCTGCAGACATGACCAAGGCAGGAGAGGTGAAGGCTGGGGAGGAACGTCCCAAGTGGGACAATAAGATCCAGTACCTGCTCACTTGTATTGGATTTGCTGTGGGGCTGGGCAACGTCTGGAGGTTTCCGTACCTGTGCCAAGTCTACGGAGGAGGTGAGTGGGCTGAATATTCCCCATCATGTACTCTGCATAGAAAGCAGGTCAAATGCTGCTAGAATCACAAACTCCCATCCAAACTGTGTATGGGTTTCTCTCATTTTTTTAAAGGAACATCAAATATAGATCTAGATAAAATAGATATAGATCTATAGATATAGATTTTGAAATGTGGGTTCTGGATTTATATTTTGAGGGAAGGCAAGAAAAATTCCTAGTAAAATTCAATGTGTCTCATAACTAAATAGCTGCTTAATTTACTACAACTTACTACAGTTAATACAAGAACCAATTAAATTGCTTGACCAGTTGATTAACATTTCATGTAAATACCCTAAGAACTTATATATTTTTAAAAGATTTCATAGCAAAAGATTAACAGTTTGTCAGGTAAAATATTTGTGTCTTCTTTAGGAAATTGTACCTTGGTATCAATAAAGCAAGTCTATATATGAAAAAAGAGCAATAACATACCATAAACTATTAAAGCACACCACCACATTTACAATTTTTATTATGCTTGGGAAAAGGAAAATAAATAAATAAAATGCATATTCTTACTTTTGAATCTAGCCCTTTTTGGGCTGTCAAGAACAAACAGAACATTCTGGGTTGAACGTTCTTCCCGTATCATATGCGGATTTAGAAGTTACTGCCTCACCTTCTAAGATACTAGCTGCTTTGAAAGAAAATCAATAAAAAAATCTATGAAAATACAGGTTTTACTGATACATCTGACTTTGCTCTAACTCGTACCATATACAACAGCAATATAATCATGGGCGCAGTTAGACATTCTGGCCCCCATGACAAAATGTCACCTTGGGCCCCCCGCTAGGGTTGCCAATTTCAATCTGGGGTTCGCCGTGGTAGGTTTTGCCAGAAGGGGCGCCATTAGACTTTGAGGCCCCAACAAGGTGCCGGGCCCCCTGAATCTCCCAGGGTATTTCAGACCCTTCCAACACCTCTTATAATACTTCTTACTCTGGAAAGAGTATCAGATTTTTTTTTAAATTCTGCATTAAGGTATTATATCATAAGCAGTCTGTACGCCCACCCGTGTCACATTCACCGCTAAGAACCACCACAGACAATGCTCCTCTCTACGGCTGATACATCTCTGAGTGGTTCTGCCAAAATTGCTTGCTAAGGAGACCTGAAGATGCTAAGCTCATGTGGCTAACATTCAAATGGGTGCTTGTTGGTTTTGTGCTATGTTTTGGCGTAAAGCCCGCCATACACACGCTCCTTGCTATACTTTATATTCCATGGGGGTTCAGAATTGAATGAAGCTCAGTAATGTTTTACAACCCTGACACTCAACACTGATGGCAAAATCTGGAAGCTTGTGTTGATTTTACTTTCTGTCCTTATTGCATATCTAAACATTATGTTATTATTAAAAAGTACTTTGCAGAATACATTAAAAGTAAATCACTGAACCCAGACATATGAATCTGACTAATACTTACTTAAATTCAAAGCTAGCAGGAGAATACAATGCAAATGATGCATGAACAGCTTAGACAGATGCATGCAGTCACCTGTGCATGCTATTCACACATGCAGCAGTGCATGGCCTATTCATGGGTGCAGGTGGCAGAGGTGAGAATCAATGAGCCAAATCATATGGCCTTTTAGGCGAGTGACTGAAGTGCCCACCCACATACACATGGGTAAGCGTAAAACAGACAAGAGTGATGAAGTCCTGAAGAATTCAGATGTACAGGTCAACAGAGCAAGAACGTGCACCGAAACAAATTAAATCAAAATAAAATAAATGGAGCACACTTTATGACTAAAGCCCTTAATCACAGGGGCACACCATACATGGGAATATCACGATTCCAAGGGTCTAATGAGTTGCTCATTTATTTAGTGGGGGCTTGGACTACGGTTACGGGTCAGTTAAGACAGAGAATTTAAACAAGCGATTGCCATGGTTAGAAATGAAAACTTTTTAAGTCAGTGCAAAATTCTTATCAAAAGCACAAATGAAAAAAAAAGATGTTTAAGAACTTAATTCAGCAAGGTGTTAATTTACATGCGTGTTATGTCAGAGCATGGCACTGCAGTTTGCTAGACGCTGTTTTTTCCTGTTCTATACTGACATTCAGTCAGCAATATATGCCAATATTTTACTACATACTTTACGTTAAGGCAATATGCACCGATCTCCAAAGCAGCTTCTTTCATTAGATTACTGCCAAAGGATATCTACTGTATGCCTGGTGCTGAAGGTTCTTAAAATGACATTTTATTAAGTATTTTACATACATAAAATACAATCTCTCAAAGTATTTTGTTACAATTGATTTCGGATATCTAAAATGGTGGTATCCTTTCGGATATTTGAAATTACATTATGGATATCTAAAATGGTGGTATCCTTTTGGATATCCAAAATTAAAATTATGACTAGTAACAATTGGATTGTAGATATCTGAAATGGGAGTTTTTCCTAGTAAGAATTCAATTGCAGATATCCAGAATGAATATTCTGGATATCTGAAATTAAAAGCCCAATAGACATGAATGGCAAAAGTGACGTAATTTCTCCTAGGAGGAATGACGATGTGGATATCTGAAATGACAATTGTGGATAGGAAGAATCCCATTGTGGATATCTGAAATGCTGTTTTTCACTATCAAGAATACACTTTTGACTAGGAGAAAAGCTATTGTAAATATGTAAAATGTAATTACGGATATGAGTGTGACTTTATTAAATGTTAAAACGGCTTGCCATAAACGACTACTTGTGCGTTACTTAATGTTAGCTAGGTAGTTTAATGGAAACACAAACAGCAATTCAGTTTTACCCCCGTGTACCTATTTTGTAACTATGGTTACCTGTAGGCACATATCAACTATCAAGCGTGATTTTGCTGTACTTGTTCTGCGCACACAAACTGCAGAAACAATCGTTATTAAAATGTTCCGCGCAATCAAAACAGAAGGAATAATCTGTTCCTTACTACCGTGAAAAACGCGGACAACTGAAAGGACACGAACATACAATTCGTTTTTTATCTAAAAGGCGTGACCGGGACTGAGATAACATAGACAGCTGAGCGGAGTGGAGAAACAAACGCTTCAGCAACTTTCTGCGGAGGTTTACCCTTATGAACACCCCCAGCGAAGCGTTTGTTTAAAACGATAGGAGAATGTATCTGCAATCTCAGTAACGTGACTGAATAACACCATGTGTTACACGCGGCTCCCCTTGCAGGCGCTTTCCTGATCCCTTACCTGATCGCGCTGGTCTTCGAAGGACTTCCCCTTCTCCACCTGGAGCTGGCCATAGGACAGCGGCTCCGCACGGGGAGCATTGGGGTCTGGTACTCTATCTCCCCCTACCTCGGAGGCGTGGGTACGCGACTCAACCATCTTATCACATATTTCTTATATTTCTAGTATACGTATTGTATAATACATATATAATGTGATTAATATTATTCCTACAACCCTGACCAGGATATCTTGTTGGATATGTCAGTTCTGATCCATAGTCCAAAGATATAAATTACTCATAGTGTGTATACATGTGTTCCTGTAATGGACTCCCCATCCAGTGTGCATTCCTGCCTTGTGCCTTGTGCTGCCAGTGAGAGGCTTCAGGCTGCAGCTTGTATGCATTGTCACTGTATAGGGTGGTCTGCTTGTGCATTATGCTGCCAGTGAGAGGCTTCAGGCTGCAGCTTGTATGCATTATCACTCTATAGGGTGGTCTGCTTGTGCATTATGCTGCCAGTGAGAGGCTTCAGGCTGCAGCTTGTATGCATTGTCACTGCATAGGGTGGTCTGCTTGGTTACATACTCCTCCGATGCTTCATGGAGCTATAACTCCCCACAGGCATGGCTTCTATGATAGTGTCTTTCTTGGTGGGTCTGTTCTACAACACCATTCTGGCCTGGGTCCTGTGGTACTTCTTCAACTCCTTTCAAGACCCACTTCCATGGAGGGATTGTCCTGTCCTAAGCAACCACACAGGTAAACCCTTCAAGGATACCAGCATACAATCAACTTCCTTTTAAGGTCACCACTCTGTCTCTTGTCTCTTTGTACTAAAGGCAGTGATGCATATTTAAAATTCTGCCGCCGTGTTTCAGCATATGTGAAGGAATGCGAGATGAGCACACCGGTGAACTACTTCTGGTACCGGGAGACACTGAACATCACCCCCGACATCGAGACCAGCGGCTCTCTGCAGTGGTGGCTTGTGATATGTATGGCTACAGCCTGGGGTATCGTCTACATTTGCTTCATTCGCGGTATTGAGACTATAGGCAAGGTAGGCAAGGCTTCCCAGTAGGTGATATAATTCATAGACTCTGTATGACTCGATTGTGACTCAACCATGGGCACATTTAGCCTCTTTTTAGAGGCTTTTTGGCAGCTCTCACACCTTGCTTCCCGCGCGGTTTGTTCCCGGCCTTTGGCTCAGGAAACAGACGGTCTTGTTGTTCTGCTGTGTCTGCGCAGGCGGTGTACATCACGGCCACCTTCCCCTACCTCGTGCTCACCATCTTCCTCATCAGGGCACTGACTCTGCCGGGGGCCACTGCTGGCCTGCAGTACCTCTTCACGCCCCAGGTCAGTGCCGGTGTCCGAATTGCGTCAGAGGTCTCGGGGATCCCCTGGTGGAGGGCTGTTGATTGGAGTAGATGTGGCTGCAGTAGAATTTGTTGACCAGGGAGTATCACTGAATTATGACCCTTAACTGAATTTTACGGGGGAGCCCCCAAACACGTATTTTCTCTCTTATGGCGATGCCCGGGGTCCCCCACACCCCCTGTCCAACACAGCAGACCTTTTTCAGAGACTTCTAGCCAGGTGGCTTTTCCATTGAGGTTATTCTCACCTACATATGTGTCTGTGTGTCTTGGAGAGCAAGATGGGGTAGGCAAAGAGAGAATTTTCCCTTTGGGGGGTCAATAACGTGCCACTATTATATGCAAAGAAAACAATCCTGGAATAAATTCTTAATGGGTGTTCAGTAAATATTTCATGCATAAGCGGCACCTGAGAAGCAGACTTCTTTTCACGGCAGTGGGAAATCCTGAAGAACCCCAAAGTTTGGCTGGATGCAGCCACACAGATATTCTTCTCCCTCTCCTTGGCTTTCGGGGGGCTCATCGCCTTCTCCAGCTACAACCCTCAGAAGTAAGACAGACCCACAGGGGGAAAACATCAAAGCAGCATCTTTTTTACACATCCATTTTAGAGGCAAAATATCCAGCCAGTAAACAAAGGTTCTGGAGTTAATTGACAGACATTGTTTGAGTGTTTGACTCACCTGTTGTAATATACTGTAAAAATCCATGCTCTCAGTCATGGTTAATGCCATGTCCTGTCTTTCAGAAACAACTGTGAACGAGATGCTCTGATCGTGGGCTGTGTAAATAGTGCCACCTCCATCTATGCTTCAATTCCCATATTTGCAATTCTTGGTTTTAAGGCCAAGAGTAACTTTGAGGATTGCCTCAATGGGTGAGCTGCAACATTTTAAAGATACATAGAGCATCGTGCATTAGAGATTTTATGTAATAATAATATTCCAGCTAAAAAGCTAACAGGATTCTTCAGAGGAGTGAAACCCAAGTGAATTATCAGTAGTTGGAAGATATAGTTTATTCAGAAAAGATGCACAATACTGTTGTAGTAATTAGTGCTACATTAGTAATTAGTGCCTCATATTTGCTGATGTTTCTATAAAAAGTATACTTTGTTTAAATGACTGAAGCATTGACAGTAGTTTGATTTTAATTCTTTGCAGGCAGGCAGTTGCACATAAAGGAATACAGTCACAAATGTCATTACGCAAACTTAGGGTTTGCTAATATAATGATAAAAATGTGTAATAGTCTTATATTAAGGTTGTATCACAATAGTTGAATTTCTCCTGAAATTCCTGGTCAGGTGAATAAAGTTTATCTGAATAACACACAGATTATGTGTACTGAACGTTTTTCAGGAACATTCTGTCCCTGACGAATGCGTTTAACATTGGAGATCAGAACATAACTCTGGAGAACTATGACAGCTGGCTTGCCCACCTGAATGAATCACATCCCGTTCAAGTGGCCGACCTGCACCTGAAAGTCTGCAATCTTCAAACTTTTCTTGACCAGGTAATTTTTAACCTACTACTTCATCCTCAGAGAAGTATAATCAGTAAGCATATCTCACTTGAGTGGATTGTTTGAGACATTCAAATATTAGGCATTAAAGACTTGAATAACTTTCTACCATTTTTTGAAGTTTTTTTGAACATGGGGCCATGCCTTTGCTGCCTCTGTGTGTATGGCCTGACAGAATGCGTCGCTCTGTGTATATGTGCATATATGAGATTGTTGATCTTTCTTCCCTACCCAGAGTGCCTCAGGCACTGGCTTGGCCTTCATAGTCTTCACTGAGGCAGTGATCAAGATGCCGGGCTCCCAGGTGTGGGCTGTGCTCTTCTTCATCATGCTCTTCAGCCTGGGTCTGTCCTCCATGTTTGGGAACCTGGAAGGTGTCCTCACACCCCTTCTGGACATGAAAATGGTGCCCAGATGCATCCCTAAGGAGATCTTTACAGGTACAAGTAAAAGTAATGACAGGCTGACTCTAATGCACAAAAACCAAATCTAATGTATTTCCCATCCTGACTTTGACCATAATGGATATATTACTAGCCATCTATCCATCCATCCATTTTCCAAACTGCTTATCCTTCTGGGTCATGGGGGCCCCAGAACCTACAGGCACAAGGTGGGGAACAACCCAGGATGGGGGGCCAGCCCAACACTCACACCTATGGGCAATTTTAGTAACTCCAATTAGCTTCAGCATGTCTTTGTACTGTGGGGGGGTGGAACCAGAGTACTTGGAGGAAACCCCACAACGACACAGGGGGAGAACAAGCAAACTCCACACACATGTGACCCAGGCGGAGACTTGAACCCAAGTCTCACAGGTGTGAGGTTACAGTGCTAACCACTGCACCACCACGCCGCCCTGCAGTGCTAACCACTGCACCATCATGCTGCCCCAGAATGGTTATATTAGTATGAGCTAATTAACTAATGCTACACCCATCTGCTTACAACAATTCTTTCTCCCCATAGGGATGATGTGTATGGTCTCATTTGTTTTGGCCCTAATATTTACAATGGGCTCAGGAAACTATTGGCTAGAGATTTTCAATGGCTACGTTGGTTCCTTGCCTTTGCTCATCATTGCCTTCTTTGAGATCACCGCAGTGGTGTACATCTATGGAATGAACAAGTAAGTGTTTTTGTGTTGTCAGTGATTAGACACTGTCAGGTTAATGTGTGCAAATGGAACTTCACATGAATACAAACAGAGCAATGACAGGGTAGAAGAGGGAAGACAGAGTTAGGTGAAGATCAACATGAGTAAGAGACAAGGTACTGTGGGAAGGAGCAGGAACTCTGGTCATAGGCTAAAGCAAGGAGTCTTAATAATAATAAGTAAAACTTGAAGAAGCACAACATTTCTGAAGCAAGGAAGGAGGAGGTAGCATAGTGCTGTATTTCCCCTGGCTGCTTAGTGACAGAAGTCGTGTCTACAGACAGAATCAGCAGTGAGGTACACTGCCCTCTAGAGGATAAGTGAGTCCCTAACACTTAGTGTTGGCCCAATGAAGCTGCATGAGCCGTTTGCTGTATTTTCTGACACCACTAGATGGTGTCGTCTGTTCAAAAGGGCTGAAAGCACTCTCTAAAGCTAAGAGCGCCATCTATTGGTTCATGAAGTTTCCTTTGACCATCCCTACCTAACACCATTTAGTGTGAAACACTTTTGGGTTAATTCCGTTGTTTATCATCATCTTAAATCACGTAGTGATTTATGATACATGGTAATTCTGCCATCACTAATGCCACATCAAATGAGGAAATCCAGAACATACTTCAGCTGGAAGCATTATATTGTTCCTTTGTGGTGTTAGGTTCAGCGAAGACATCGAGTACATGACGGGTCGAAGGCCTAACCTTTACTGGCAGGCCAACTGGAGGGTTATCAGCCCTCTCATGCTGCTGGTGGTCTTTGTGGCATACGTGGTGGTCCAGGCCGAGCAACAGCCGACTTACGCCGCCTGGAACCCAAACTATGTAAGTTGGCCACATTGGGTCACTATGCCACAGAGCAAAGGCTGTGATAGTTCTTCAGTATGAAAATCTGTGCAGTCTCATGCATTCATTTCACCTCATAGTAGATACGGCAAGACAAAATACAATGAGATACGCTACCAGTCAGGTGTTTTTGCACATCATATGTTTTTGCTACTTTTCCATGTTTTTTCATAAATTGTAAAGCATTGGAATGTTGAGTGAGCAGCTATAGATGAAAATATAAGTGAAATAAAACAAGTTTTCTTTATAACATGGAGAGAGTATGTAACAGTGCATCTCTGACATCCTATTAACTGGCTGTGTGGAGATGGCACAGTCAAACTCTAGGCTCTTCCTTAACCTTAAATGCACTGGTTATTTAATGTTTCTTGTGGAGAGGATGCCTCAGATTTTCTCTGCTGGTACCTGCTAGAGGAGGAAACTCTGATGAATCAAACGTCTGGTATTTTCTTGCTACTAAAGGTACTCAAACGGTGAGCATATTGTGAATTTGTTAGCAAAGAAAATTCAGTGCAATTTTAGCAAATGTTAAGTGAATAACATGCAAATGTAGAAAATCTCATTATGTGCAAAAGCTTTTGACAGGTAATGTGTACTTTATTGAAAAGGGGGAATTTTTTAAAAAGATAATACTAGTGCCAACATGTAAATACAATTCACCATATAAGTAAAAATAATTTCATGCAGTGCCTTAATTTACAATTTATTAAGTTAAATACAATATTTTAGGTACTGGACTCACAAATTCCTCATCCATTCATTTTATAGTATTGTGGGATCACAAATTTGACAGGAAGTATTAGGACAGTCTATGACCGTGCCATTTGCAGCCAACCCGGTGACAGTCCCGCTCTCGGATCATTACCCAGCATCCTCTTCTTCACACGCAGGTGGACTTCCCGCTTGAGCAGGTGCTCCCGTATCCCAAATGGGTGTTTGCCATCTGCGTCCTGCTGGCCAGCATGCCATGTCTCCCCATCCCTCTGGTGGCGCTCTACAAGTTCATCCTCTTCCTGAAGAAGTGGCTGATGGGCCGGCTGCACAGTAACCCCTATGACAATGAAGGATACAGCCCAGATACACAGATTTCTGTAGTCAAAATGGAAATATAATACGATCTTAATTCCAGGGAAGATGACTACTGGGACACAAGCTCAATGATATTTTTCTTTCCCTTTCATCTGTGTGCTAAGAAGATTGAAAGCCCAGAATGTCTGATTACACAAGGATGAGTATTCCATCTATGATTAGACGTTTGCACGTTTGATGTTCATCAGGAAAACAATTGTATTTCCTTAAGATAATACTGACTGGTCGTCTGTGGTAAGCATTAGCCACAAAATATCACCTTTTTCGGGTTCTCTGTAAGAGGTAGACGCGCTTGAATGGATTTTCGCAGATCTTTCACAGATCTTTGGCTTCGTCTTCTCTCAGCGGCTGCTCATTCTGTGATGGATTCTGTGATGACAGCGATGATGGTGCAGGGTACAGAATAAACAGTTTAGAGTAAGAAATCAGCCCAGCAAGGTGTTGTGAAGCTGAGGATCTTCGCATCGTATGGGAATAACGATATGATGGATTATTTGGTGAAGTTTGATAAAATCATTGTTTTTGCAAACAGGTCGGTGTCCGTCTGTTTACACAGAGGTGACATAGTTCAGATTTGTGATTGGCGATACCTATAGAGGACCCCTGAGTGATGTTACATAATAAAAACTTGAAATTGAACAACTACACATGTCTAAATCATTTTATATTTTTATTTATAAGACTGCATTATTCATATTACCATCCATGTATTCCATCATTATGTTTATTACAATTCAACTGACCAGCTTATTCTCTGTGATACTTATGGTCACTTACTAATTAATAATTCCACCTTCATTTTCTTTATTTGTTGAAATGCATCATTTGACATAGCATTCAGGCAAACACTGAAAAACAGCTGTAAATGGCAGATGTTATACACAAAAGGTTCAGCTTGTTTTCATTACACCAATAAAGTTCTTGTTTGGAATTCCAGATGGTGACATCATCAAACAGGGAATGATTCCCCAAATAAGATTTATTTCTAAGACTGTTTGACAGCAGACTTGTACTATGAATGATGTCATCGACTGAGAAATAAAATCGTTTCTGTGTTATTAATTTCTTTGTTTATCCTGCACTGCAGTGGGAATAGGGTTGTCAGTTCTGCAGTTCCTGTTTTATAAATAGAAATGGCTGATTTGATTGAAATGGTGGAACCTAAAGTGGAGTTAATGCCTCCCATGTTGTCACACGCTTTTGGAACATGCCGGCTGCCTTTGTGGTCTCGTTGCCTGTTCTGCACTTCTGGCATTTTCCACACAATGGTGCACATTTATGCACAGATGCTGTTGGGCCTTTCAGACGGCTACAGCCTGAATCCCAGCCTAGAGAAATGAGTATCACCCCCACAAGGGAGACGCACTGATACACCGTGGACTGCAAGCTCAAAATCTGATGTAAAGTATTTTCTTGTTATTTTGAGTAATTTGTTTCATGGCTTCCATTACACAGTGGGTATGTTTGTTTGTTTTACTGGTTTATCTACTTTACAATGGAAATAAGGAATATTACAGTTTTGGAATGCTGTGAAAACATTTTTAATGATGTGTTAGCTTGAATAAATATCCAAACGACTGTTTATAAAATATTAAATACATTTTATTGTGTTCTTGGTTATCAAATGCAATGTTATGGATTTGACCTTTACATAATTGCATGACAAACAAAAAGGCTTTGACATTATTTGGTATATAGATGTTATTGCTGAATAACATTTAGTAAATAAGAAGATAAAATGTGCTCATTGCTTTAATTAAAGACATTTTTGCAATGGTTAATGGTAGTCTATCATAGGTGGACATTTACACATTGACAGAGGAACTTCAATTGATATCTTGTGGTATAACTGTCAAGACTTAGCATGCAGTGTTTGGGAGGTTTGATGACTGTTAACCTGACCTATGGGCCTGAGCGTTAGGAATGAGACTGTGATATGTCATATAAGATAAACGTAAACAAATGTTTGAGAACTTCAATTTGATGTATTTCGTGAATGCTTTTATTCAAGGTGGCCTACATTTTTTCTTTTGAGAAAGCCGGCTCAGACGGTCCCTAGAGCAATTCAGGGTTAAAGGCTTTGCTCAAGGAGTTACAGAAAACGGATGGATGAATGGATGGATGGATGGATGGATGGATGAGGACAGTGCTTTGCCTTGAGCTGTTACATAGTAGCTGACACGCTGCTGTATCTCTAGCACCTGGGATGCCTCTGGAACCCGAGGCGCCGTGGGGCAGAGGAGCTCCTGCACAGACTGCGAGCAGCGGCACCAGAGCGACAATGACCTGTTTCATGCCAGGTGAGTCAGAGCCAATAACAATATTCATTAAAACCCATAGTACCCTTGATAAGCATCTACTTTTTGCATTCAATCCTATCAATATGCTTTATGTTATACTAGAGCACAAAGTGCTTGGTTAACTGCTCAGGTGATGGATGGATGGATGGATGGATGGAACACTGTAATGCACCGTAACATGTTCCTCACAGAATCAGTGCTCATCTACCTCAACAGTCCCAAGTTCCTGATATATGTCAGTGGAGCGTTGTCCATGTGGGTAAGTGAAGTAAGAGTAACCAGGACACAGATGGAAAATTTATCTTGTAATATTCAGCCTATTGATGTACTGTCTTACTAATATAACCTACTGATCAGTTTACCCCTCAATGTGTCCTGAACGATTGAAATACAAAAACACTTGAATGATCAGACTAAATAATTTCAAATGAATTTAAATGCTATTTAGAACTACAAAGGAGAAAGATAACGGCAAACCTATGAGTCCATACTATGTCGACACTCCCATAAGGCTTCCCTCGCTGGCAGGGTAGAGTGAGCCACCTCCCCTTCGTCTCTCCCACAAGGGCAACCGCATGTGGCATTTCGCCATCTCCGTATTCCTAGTCGAGCTGTACGGTCGCAACCTGCTCCTCACTGCTGTGTTCGGCCTAGTAGTGGCCGGCTCTGTGCTACTTTTTGGAGCGCCGATTGGTGACTGGGTCGACCGACACCCCAGGAACAAAGGTAATGATCCTCTCCTCGCAGATGGGGTTCAAATCAGAGATGTTCAGGTGGCTAAAAGTGGTTAAAAAACTATTTATAAACATAGAGGTTTTGCTCCATTTTGGCAAAATGTATAATAAAGTCATTGTTGCCTATTAGGAAACATTCCTAAAATTACATATATAATCCTAATCTACGTATACACACAGACACACACACAGACACACACACACACACACACACAGGTTTATAATTATATCTTTGTTGGGACTCTCCATTCATTTCTCTGTTGAAAACTTTAATCCCAACATGATGACCCTAACCCCTACCCAGCCCTGACCTTAACCAGTAACCAAATTAATTTGTTACGGGTGTCACTCTATGGGTTGGGACTAAGAAGGTCGCTGGTTCAAATCCCATGGTAGGCAGAGTGATGCCACCATTGGGCCCTTGGGTAGGGCTTTTAACCCCAATTGCCCCAGGCTCTGCCTGATCCTACTGCCTCCTCTACGTCAGTTTTATGGGGTGTCCCCTGGGATGCTTTTCCAGCTGTCCTGAAAGGGGTTCCAACATATAAGCTGAGCTCTCACTGGCCGCTAATCCATTACTCTCTGGTCAGACTCCTCCAAAGCCATGTCATGTGATGCGACACAATCACTCTCCTTCACAGGTGACTTGGCGTGTCCAAACTTTTGACTGGTACCGTATTTACTTTGTCTCTTCTCGATGTGTGTATGAAGACTGCAGCCCTAAAACTGGAACTCTAGCATCACTGCGCAATCAAAGACAACGTCACTGCACACAAAACGTTAAGTGATTGTACAGAAACACACAAGCACAGCACGTATGCAGTAGAGCACGTTCTGCTCCGGGCTGAACCCGGCCAACTGCCTAGACCAAAGTTTGTTCTCCCATATCAGTGGCCCACGCGTCGCTGTTCATCCAGAACATATCAGTGACAGTGTCTAGCATCGTGCTCATGCTGGTCTTCTCCTACAAGCACTGGATCGAGCGGATCTGCAGTGGCTGGCTCACTGTGAGTATTCATTTCCAGTGTCTTCCATACCTTTTGTCCCTAGAAACCTTGTTTCACGAGGCAACTAATACTTTTATACCACTGTGGGCGTCTTAGTAGCAAAAACTGCTTTGAAAATTACATAAAACTCTGGCATGCTTTTCAAAATAAGAGCAGAGTGCACAACATACTATTATGTCTATAAAATATTCATGCATTTTTATTTTAAATAAATGATGATAATGCAGTTACTTAAGGCACATCATGTTGTGAAACCCAGACTTTTTGGTCTAATGTTAGACAGTTGCACCCATATATTTGTTTTTATTAGGATTTGATTCATATGTTCAATTACTTGTCAGTTACATATTGCCTTTTTATCAAGTTAACTGTAAGGAATATGAACCTAAGCTAATATCCATTATTATGAAGAAGTGCAGGGTATCGTTTCTTAAATCTGTTAATCACTATGGAAACGTTTCACTAGCGTCTTGATATATCATTGCATGCTCAGCCTCCTGCTGTTGTGTCACGTCTCCTTTTAACGTGTTTGCATCGCATGGCTTGCACAAGGTGTTTTGTTATACGCTGGTGATCATCCTGGCAGATGTGGCAAACCTGGCAAACACGGCCTTGACCATCGCCATCCAAAGGGACTGGATCGTGGTGATCACCGGCTGTAACCGCGCGCGGCTTGCGGGTGAGACGTCCGCGGTGTCCTCTCACCTTCCCCAACAGCTGTGTACTATACGGCCTGTACATGTATGGCTAGTAATCAAGGCCTCAGTCTATTACAATCTGACAGATTCTGACCTGTGTTATTATATACCGCTGGCGCAGTGGCTAAGTGGATGGCGGGTGCTGATAACACACACCTTAAGGGCTGGGGGTTTGAGTCCCACCGTTACTGTATATATGGACTTTCTTTTCCCTCCTGTCACTTGCATGTGCTCCAGGTCAGTGTTTCCCACCCCGGTCCTTGGGGATGCCCAGACAGCCCACATTTTTGCTCCCTCCCAGACAGCCCACATTTTTGCTCCCTCCCAGACAGCCCACATTNCTCCCAGACAGCCCACATTTTTGCTCCCTCCCAGACAGCCCACATTATTGCTCCCTCCCAGACTGCCCACATTTTTGCTCCCTTCCAGCTCCTCTTTGGGGGTCCCTGAGAGCCAGCTTGGGATACATTGCTCTAGTCTCCTGCTGAAGTCCGAAAGACATGCATTTAGGGTAATCGATGTAAATAGGCCGTGTAAAGTGCTCACTGAAAGTCTTGGAATGCTTGTTTAATCCAGTAAAAATATAGCAAATTTATTGATTTTATAATTTACGGTCTTAAAAGAGCTATTCTGAGTTTAAAAAGTTCATTGACGAGCAGTAAATTAGTAAAACCATTGCAATAGCATAAAACATCAAACATTACAGTTTAGTATCTAGCTAGTGAATAGGACTGCAATTAATAACAAAATGGCAAGAACAGAACTGAATGAGTCAGTCAAAAAATTATAGCACAAGAATATGTTTGTGTGGAAGAATGTGAAACATTGCTGGTCAATGAACTTTTATTATGAAACCAATGAATTTGCAGTATTTTTACAGAGGTAAGCAAGCATCCCATGTCCTTAAATTGTCCTGTGATGGATCAGCATCCTGTCCAGGCTGAAGCCCAGCTCTTTGTTGCTTTGGTGATCACACATTGCTGCATTAGGTCCCCCCCCGGCCCCCGCTTTCATTTGTTCCTTTTCGTTGCCATGCAGAAGTGAATGCCACCATGCGGCGGATTGATCAGGTGACCAACATCCTGGCTCCGCTCGCCGTGGGCCAGGTCATGACGCTGGCGTCCAACGTCGCCGGCTGTGGTTTCATCCTTGGTTGGAACCTGGTGTCCCTCATGGTGGAGTTCATCTTGCTTTCAAGGGTGTATCGCATGGTTCCCATGCTGGGCGTAAAGGCCGGACCGGGCAAGGCAGAGGGGCCGGGCAGGAGCTCATGTGGTGAGTGCGTGTTACAGCACGTGTTACCTCTACATGCATGTCTCTGCATGTTACTTACTGAAGTGGAAGGTCATGGTCAAGTGATTCTCAGATGAATAGTCCTTGGCGCTTATTTGGCGTTGTATTTTACGGGAAAAAACCTGTTGATTGTTAAATTGCCAAATGAACAACAAACAAACAAAATAACCCATTCTGAAAATTCTCATTCCTGAATTTAGTGGAGCCACAGGTGAGTGGAGCCCCTGGAGGCCTGGAGCAGAACTGCAGAAGTGGCGTCCAATCGAAAGAAATGGGCGAATCTCCCTTATGTATCTGGAGGTTCAGGCAACTGCTGAGAACCTGGAGAGACGGCTGGAAGGCCTACTACCGCCAACCGGTCTTCCTGGCGGGCATGGGGCTGGCCTTCCTGTATACCACGGTGCTCGGGTTCGACTGCATCACCACGGGTTACGCCTACACTCAGGGCATCAGTGGCTCCCTGCTGAGCCTGCTCATGGGCGTGTCTGCCGTCACTGGCCTGGCGGGCACCGTCATGTTCACGCGGCTGAGGAAGGCCTACGGCCTGCTCGACACAGGCCTCATCTCCAGCTGCCTGCACCTCAGCTGCCTGACGCTCTGCTTTTTCTCCATCTTCGCTCCCGGCAGCCCCATGGATCTGAGCCGGCTGGGGCATCTCATGGGGGCCAATACGGAGGACCTGGGGGGCCAGGGCAAGAGGCACAGCCACCCCTTCCGGGGCAGCAACAACCAGCCTCTCCTCCCTGACCGCTCGTCCATTCACTGGACCAACAGCACTGTGCTCTTTCAGAACTTCCACACTGGCTCTGCACCTGAATCTTATATCTCCATCATCCTTTTGTTCCTGGGTGTCATCACAGCTCGTGTTGGTAAGTGGGTCCTTTGGATTTACACACAACTGTTTAACATTAAGAGTAGAAATACAATAAAGTGAGCATTGATAGTATTTCTTACGGATTTCTAATTTGAAATTCACCCCACAGTGACCTGTATTTTATATATGCTGAAGAATTCCATTATCCGTTATTCCGTTACTTGACAAAGGTACAATTTTTCATCTTTAAACCTTAAGTGGCACAGTGGCGTACTGGATATGTACAGCGGGGAAAATAAGTATTTGACACATCAGCATAAAGTGTGTTCAATACTTATTCCCTGTGTCATTTCACTTGAATTCAATATTTGGCTTGATGGCAACATCTGGTGGACATTTTGTGTCAAAAGTCCACTTAGAAATCCCCTTACTGATAAAAATGCTGATGTGTCAAATACTTATTTTCCCCACTGTATGTGTATGTCTGCACTCTGTGATGGTGCGTCTTGAGTCTGAGATGGGCTTCAGATCTCAGGGACCTCAAGTGATGAGTGTTAAAACATCCAATTTGATTTATTAAATAGCCAATCATGATATTTTTTCTTAAGAGACTCACTGTGGTGTCGGCCTTGGAGGACTCAAAAAAAATTAGTTTTAGAAATATTTACACATTAGATGACAAAAATCCACGTATTTATGTATGAGTCATCTAACACATGTTTTATCATTTTTGTTTTATCTAATGACCCTTGTCGCTTAACATAGAATAAGGGATCTGCCACTAGGGGCAGACTACTGTACTTTAGCGGCTAGCTAGCCGGGAAACTAATGAAATAATGTGTGAATCAGAAGAAGAATGTGGTAATATAGTAACTCACAAAAACATGAAAAGCACAGCCTGGAAACAGGTTGGATTTCGTCTGCATTTTTTATCAAGGGGACGATACCGGAATAGCATTGCTCTGTAACATACTGTCAAAATACCATATACTGCAGTATAATGTATGGAAAGCATGACGTATGAAAAATTACATACTGTACTGCCCTAGCCTCGTCAGACAGCCTAAACTGAAGGCAGCATTTGACTGCAGGGATGTCGTTTGTTTGAAGTTATTTTGTGCTTGTAACCCTGTCATGCTGAATAATGTAAATATTGATATTTTAATTTCACGCTGCCATTTAGATTACCTTTTTGCTGCTGGCATTTCTGTTCTGTGGGTAGGTAAATGAATAAAAATACGTTATATATTATTGTCTACTCATCATTTTCCTTCCCCAAGCCAGCAGGCGAATGTTGCCTGGTTCACCTTTCGCAGTTGGTTGCACATAATGGGCTTAGGGTAGCTACTGCAGAATGATAGGCTTGGTTTGTAGTAACTGTATAATATTTGAATTTCTTCAAATGATAAAGAGTTTTTAAAAGGCCCCAGTGCGACGTGATGTTTTTTTGTAGTTACTTCTGGTTTGGAGGCTTCCCTCTTCTGACAGCGATGGCCAGGCCATTTCTGAAGCTCACTCCCTGTGTTCCATCCGCAGGTCTCTGGTCTTTCGACCTGACGGTCACACAGCTGCTCCAGGAGACCATAAGCGAGTTGGAGCGGGGCGTGGTCAGTGGAGTGCAGAGCTCTATCAACTACCTGATGGACCTTCTGCACTTCGTCATGGTCATCTGTGCATCGCAGCCTCAGCACTTTGGCATCCTGGTCATCATCTCCGTGCTCTTCGTCGCTGCTGGGCATGCCATGTACTTCACGTACGTCCGCAAGGCCAAGAAAAAGCAGCGGATTGACACAGAATGCTGCCCGGGTCCCGCTGCCGTACTGACAGCTTCATCTCCTCCCTGCATCCGCGTTGTGAACATCCAAGGTTCAAGGTTACTTTACTGACAACAACAGCTGTGTGCACATACATAGTGAGGTGAGACAATATTTCTGCATGGACCGCAATTCAACATACATCGACATATAATAAAATACAATGTGCAACATGAACAAAAACAATACTAAACTGTGCCACAAAATAACAATATAGGACAATGGGATACTGAGATACATTCTGTACACATATTAAAATATAACCAGCATAATGTAGCAGCATGATGAATATCAATTATTGTACACAATGAAAATATTGCAGCATTGGTGAAGTAGCAGTTTCCTTCAGTACATCGCTGCCTGTCTGTCATGCCTCCAATCTCAGCGACATGGAGCAAAGCCCAGCCCAGGATGGACTGAAACATGTACCTCTATCAGTCAATGTGGAAACAACCAGACCTATCGAACTCCTGCATGCTACAAACTACAAGGCTGCATGTAAGATATAGGCTGATAGCACAACATTTCTAACACAACCTGGGACCTCCACACTCCAGAAATGTGTTAATCTCTCTACCTATTTTAACAATGGGATCATCAAGAAGACCAAGGACTTGTAATGGAAGCTATGGATGCAGTGACAATGAGATGTTAGTTATTGAGAAGTTCAACTAAGTATAGAAAAAACAAGAGGCGAGCTTGTTACTGAGCCGACAGCTTGGAAAAACTCAGGAAAACTGCGGAGTGATATCAAGGGAACATAATGTCAGATTTTTCTTGTACTGTTGAAAGAAAAATGGAAATTTGGAGAGGCGAGCATGGAAAGCAGATCTTAAATCTCTTGGTGGATGAATCAGCAAGCAGCATGCCTGGTTTCTTAGCAATACAGAGGAAACAAATGCGTAACAGCACAATGCACTAACATGAAGTTACACAAGACACAAACAAAGCAATGTAAACCAAGAGTAAAAGTATCTCTGCATTCAGGAGATATGAACAGAATAAGCTTTAATTATAAAGATTTTCTCTGACACAGAATCAGCGTGATTCTAATGTTTTATTTAAATGTTTGTGGCAGATGCTTGAAATCCATTCTTCCACATAACTTAATCCACATAGCATTAGATCTGGTTGATAATGCATAAAAATAACCAAACTGGTTTGAATAGTTTGTTGTGTAACATCATGATTCATGTAGAAACCGCTTTACCTCAGTACATGACATTCTGTTTTGAAAAAGAATTTTGGATTTGTTTTTTTAACCTCACATTAAATGGTAGATACACCTTTGTTAATCTCATGACTAGTCATTTACACACAGGGTTAACATATTTCTGTCTGAAACGCAGACCGTAACGGTATTTTGGTTGTTTTTCACAGACACATTTTGTACAATGTCCAGTTAAATCACCTTCATATGACATTTTCATATCTGAATGTTACCTATTAAGTGGCAATACAATGTTCAGAAATTCATTTAGATCTTATTTCCTGTAGCATTGCATTACTTATTTTTCTATTATTCAAAGTGTTTCAGCTAATGTAACATTATCTACTATGACCCAAGCTGGCTACAATTTTACTCTGAATACAGAGAATACAGATACATGAGTGATGTAGGTGTTTGATCATTTGTGCGAATATTTTTCTTGTGATAGCACTTCTGTAAGTATTTTTACACATTTCATATAGCGTCTGACTTCTGGGTGCCATTTTCAAAATCAGCTGGTAAGGAATAAATCATGTTTAATCAGTGATTCAAAAAATATAAAATAGATTTTGCTAACACTAGCTGTTTTTTCAATGTCCACTAGGTGGCAACTGAAATCAGATTATTCAGTAAAAAAATAGATGGGATCTACTTGAAAGTATCCATCCATGCATTTTCTGTATCTGCTCGTTTTAATCAGGGTAGCAGGGGTTCTGGAGCCCATTATTTGCACTGTAAAATTAATGTAGAGTTGCATCAAAATGACATATCAAAGGATCTACAACCTTAACATAAAGGAAAACATAAACATAACGTTAACTAAAACAAAAGGTAACTAAGAAATTATAACTTTGGTTGAATGTAAATTAAAAGGCATGTGCTGTAGTCAGTGTCACTTTAATGATGAGTATGAAAAGTTCATATTTCCAAGTGTCAGCACAAGGAAGAGATGGAAGGGGGTTCTCTTGAGGTGGGGGGGTCCTTAATACCCTATTCCTGTCTTCAAACCATTTATATCCTCACCCCCCCCCCCCCTCCCCACCACTCTTGGGAACAGCCTCACAGTAAAGAGAAACAAAGGCAATCTGCGCAATCCATCTTCTCCGAGCCTTATCAGCCCCCAAAGTTGCCCACCCCTGACCCTGCTGAGATCTGAGCGCCAGCCCCCCAAAGCCCCCCACCCCTAGCCCTGCTGAGATCTCAGCCCCAGATGTCCATCTCTACAGCACTACTTCAGAGGATCTCTTCCACGCACCTGTTTAAAGCGAGCAGGATGGCTTTCGGCGCTGGTTCACCTGAGTCATGCTCCCTTTAATGATTCACTATGGGAGTCCTCTGGTGCTCGAATCCCAGGGCTTCACATCAGAATGATTTCTGTATTCTTTTTCCTGCTAACACACACTCACTCCATTGCATTTAATGGATTTCGCATTAAAACAAAAAGCAACAAATGCAGCTTACAGGTAATTAATTCCAAATTTTTAATATATTTTAAATTATTCTAAGAGTCAAGTACATCGCGATACAGAAGCTGCAAGCAAGAGACAGTCCGGTCATGTGCTTATTTTAACCCGGAATGAACTTTCAAGATTAAATAATTTAGTTTTCTGCAACTGCTGAAAGCTTTCTTTTTTACTGAAGGTGAATTTTATTGAAATTAGAGACTAATGATAGTTATTAGAAGTTGAATGTGCATAGTGATTGAATGTGACAAATTCCAGTTGGACAAGGTACTGGTGGATATCTGTTAGCACATGATGTAGTAAATGATCATGCCAGTTTAATGTGGGCTTTGTATGGCAGCACACTAACTTCAAAGAAGCCTACCTTGGCCAGGGTGACACATTTGATTTTAGTTGCACTTTGTGATACAGGTCTCTGGCAGAAGCACAAGACAAATAAACATTTGCATTTGATGTCAAGCTACCTTAGAAGCTTTCACCTTCAAGTCTCCTCATGCGCTCTCTGTGGTATCGCATGCTTTAAATGCGACCATGCGGAAAAATGGGGCAGCGCTGAGAGAGACGGCCGACCATATTAGGGATGCCAGAAAGAAGGGATTAAACCAAAAAAAAAAAGTGATGAAGGCTTCCTTGAGAGCTCAGGAGATGCAGAGACTGTACAGAATGTGGAGGACATTATGACCCATGGCTCTGACTGTCACACCCCGCCCATCTGACCCTCCCATTTCCTCCCTAGGGTGGCCCTAAGGAGTCCACCTGGTAATCACTACCATACCTTATGTGTGAATCACTCTCTGCTGCCTCTTGTTTGTTCCTTCGTCAGTCGTGTATTAAAGTGCTTCCCAGTCCTTGACGTCTAACCCTCACGTTACCTGTGCCTTCCCTTGCTCCCAGCCTCCTGTTTTGATCCTCGTTAACCTGTTTGTTTCTAGCCTTTGTTTTCCCATTTAATAAAACCCAGTTTGTTTCACCTGCACTCCTGCTCCCGACTCCTTTGTCCCTCTCCTTGTGATACTGACCTTGGTGCTGAGACCACCTGACCAATGGGGACTTAGGGACTGGATGCATTATCAACAGGAGAGAAATGGAGATGAGACGTGAAGACAGCTACGGTAACACTTCTGTAAAAGCCAGGAGAGGCTGCAGTAATCAGTCGCTTTGTGCTATCTCCTGCCATTTGCATATTAGCTCAGTGTCCAGTGATTCAGTCAAACACTTGTCAAACACAAATGTTTCACAAGGCTCTTGTAATGTAATGGTGGATCCAGAATGCAGTGGTTTTTGTGAGTCATTTCAGTGTGGTTCATGGTGATATATAACAGAGCAACCACTAAAACCATACAGCAGCTGTGCGTTTTGCATTTCACTGGACATGAGGCATAATGACAACCTCAAACACAATGATATTTGCAGTGATTAATAATATCTATCCAGTGCAATGTCAGAGTACTTAGCCTGCAGCTCATCCCAGAATGTCCAGGGCACAGGGTACGGGACCACCCTGGACAGGACGCAGGGATATCACAGATTAAACAGTCACAAATAAGAGACACCAAAAAATGCAAGATCCCAAAAATCAACCAAAATGTCCCAGGCCAACTGGCTGCCCAGTTAGACTTAAATTCCTGATAGAATTGGTCCATATACAGTAGGAACAGTGGAGCCTGAGATGCACAATTCAGCATCTGTGGTTTCCAACAGGGTACCGAATCTCCTATAGCCTACTCAGTCCACAGATAACACCCAAGCAAATGGATGCAATGTAGGCTACCACAGATGCTGGACCACTGGCAATCAATATAATGTTTGGTTTTGAGAAAAGGTGATGTATTTACTGTTTTGCGACACTGTTTCATCCATCCGCAAGCTTTCAAAATTGTGTTGACTTCGACGTTCATGAGACGCCGTTTAACGCTTAACACCAACAGGAAACTGGACACCGAACGTAACCTGTGTACGTCTCCACAGATCTTAGCGTTTAATAGTAATGCGTTTTCAAAGCATTCCTCTATGGTGAAAAAATATGTGACAGGCAAAGTAAAACCACGACCAGCGTCTGAATTTAAGAAACAACGTAGCGTACGTGCGAGTCTACTGTCAGCACATGTGGGCGATATCGCACACTGTATAGAGTACCGTAAATCCCGAGGGAAAAGACCAGCAACAATGGAGGTCTACTGCACATGTGTGTAATATAATACACCCTACAGATAATAGTACATGCAAAAAAAGGTGGGTGGAGCAGCATTGCGTGATACACCAGCTCGTCTATCAGAAGCCACCCCCCTCTGGTTAAAACACTACGAGGATGTCTGCTCCAAGTGCATGTCCATGAACGTGATGTGGGGAGATGGAGGAAGACGGGCTGCTTTGCTCGCCCCAAGACGGGCTCTTGAAGAACTGGCGATGGGGCAAACAAGTGAAGGATCAAGCTCATCTGAAACAGAGGATCCGAGATATACCGGGACTGTTAAAACAGGGACTGCATTTGCGGAAGAAAAGTGTGGAGACTGTAAGTCACCCAGTGCTATCTAAGGTGTTCTGTAAAACAAGCTTCGTGTATATTATTGCCGATCAGCAGTATGTGACGGTAAATATGTTATATAAGTTACCACACGTGTGTTGTCTCCGTAGTTTAATTCTTATCTTTATATTCGAAACGAACAAATGCCAGTAACCAGGTGGGAATACATTGTTATCGCATGATTTTTAAGACTTGGGTTTTGCTGGATATAAGTTAACTAAATCACCGACTCCCACAACAATACGGTAGGGTGACCAAGTGTGACAGTAGCCGAATATAAAACTTCGATACCTGGGTATATTTCAGAAGGTGTTTCAAAATGGTTGAATGAAAGAGGTCGAGCGCCTTGGACAGAGTGATTCAACGTGGCGGTGGATCATATTCACGTATCAGATTCTCTATGAAAGATTGCGCACCGTGAATAGAAAGGGAGAGAGGAGTTACTTTCTGTATCATTTGAAGTCCTATAGAGACACAGCGAATAACCACATGCAAATGTGTCGAATATATATCTATATATGCATATACGTATGTGTGTGTGTGTGTGTATATATATATATATATACACACACACACACACATATATATATATATATTAATTAGTGTATGTGTGTTGGTTTACATTAAACAACAATGTGATGTCTAGAGAAATCTAAACATTTTCTTATAACAGTACGTTCATTACAAACTCAATAAACGGGTTAAGCAAATCCACAAAGTCCATCAAGCACTATTACGAAAAGACACGATCTAAACGCATACGTTTGCAAAACGTAATTTCAGTGAGTGGGTAACTTATTTTAAATCCAGATGCGCGTGTTTGTAATTATCGATATGCACGTCAAAAGAAAGACAGCATTGGGAAGGCTGTATTTAATTGTTATATGGGAACAGCGTATGATTAAATTTAGTGTGGGATTACTTATTCGTTTGCTTTAAGCAGTAGGTCCCACCCAGCAAACAGCAGACTCCGTTAAATATATCGTGTGTTAACTCCTGGAGAAATCGACTTTGAATGAGATGGCACATCCATTCATTCTTGGTCTCCTTGATCTCTGATTTATGTTTTGGCTCTTCAAAGGGAAGCGCTCTTTTTTTTGCCCTGACATGTGAGTGCGTGGTACCAACCCTTCATCTTCTAAGTAGAGCCTAAGAAAACAAGAGTTTAATCAGAAGAAGATATTCATGCAGAAATCGCGCAGCATAAATACATAGACACTGGAGAAATATAAAGGTCTTTTGAAAAAATAATGGTAACACTTGAAATAAAACTGTGATCTATAATACATTAAAGATACTTTCATAATACATTACGATGGTCTGCATAAGGATTAAAGCATTAAATCATGTTCTACTGACAGTCATAAGGCATTATAGCGTTGATTATAATGCTTCATAAGCTCCAATGAAGCGCTCATCTATAATGCACTATAATTGTCGGTATAAGAATTAAGAATAATTATGAAGGTATCTATAGTGCGTTATACATGAAAGCTTCACAAATTCAATTCAATTTCCTGATTAGAGTTGGAATTGATGAATGCATTCCCATAATACACATGGTGATAATGTGTTATGCCTTTTTTGAAAATAAATATTTCTGAATGCAGTATGATGTGTTAGGAATGTATTCATATATTGTTATAGACATGGCATTCATAGAAAGCGGTACCAAAATATGTCTGTCTGCCTGTCTGTCTGTCTGTCTGTCTGTCTGCCTGTATGTCTGCGTGTCTGTATGTCTGTCTGTATGTCTGCCTGTCTGTCTGTCTGCCTGTATGTCTGCCTGCCTGCCTGTCTGTCTGCATGTCTGCCTGTCTGTCTGTCTGCCTGTCTGTCTGCCTGTCTGCATGCCTGTCTGTCTGTCTGTCTGTCTCTTTCTCTCTATTACTATAGGCTTGGTATTTGCATGTTGACCTCCATGTGTTTCCATCTGTTGCCTCTGGGAATATCCTCCCACAACTGAAAGACTAGTGGTTCAGGTGAATTGGTTTCTCTAAGGTGCCCATTGGTGTGTTTCTGACGGACTGGCTCCCTGTGCTCAGTGCTCCCTGGGTCCTGGGATGGGCTCTAACCTCACTGCGGCCCGGCACTGGCTAAGCGTCTAGGGATGGATGAATGAAAAGACACTCAGCACCACCTCTCCGACTCAGCGGGATGCATTCAAACTGATTTAAAGTCGCAGCTTATTAACAAACTGGCAAATTCTGCCAGCTTAATTTCAGGTCATTTTATTAGAGGTGCCTTCAGTCGTTGTCACATTTTTCTTTCATTGCAATGTATAAATGTTTTAACTGTGGATGGAACATTTTATCCACAGATAATGCAGGATTATGTGAGCCATCAAATCACCTTTAGAATAATTCATATAAATGTTTGACAAAAACATTGTGGCAGTCAAACCATGTTTTTTTCTGTTTAAGTAAATCAGTTCTCATAATAAAAAAGAAAATACTTCTGCACATGCAGTGATGCAGAGAAACAATAGTATTTTTAAGTTTTTTTTTTTTTTGCTGCAAAACTTCAGGGCAGGATATTCATCCAGGTGTCATAGGATGTATCTACAAAAATATTACAGCCCTCAAACTGTAAGTGAATTGTCTTCTACCTCTCTGGGGGATGAAAAAGCGTTGACAGCAGGTCTAACATCAACCAGGAGTGAAATATAATCAAGTTAGAAGCCACGCGTTGTTCAAGTATACACATGTTCAAGGTGAAGAGTCCCTGCATGCTCAGGAGTCTGGATTGATGGGAGATTTAGCCCTTGGCTGACGGCTGTTCAGCATGACATGGGTAGTGACACAGAATGAGGTTGCTGGGGGTTCACTACACTGCTTTGCTACACCTGTGCTGAAAATACGCAGCATGATTTAGCTCTATACAAGGCAAATGGTCAAATAGTGACTCCAGGATGTTGTTCAGAAGCCCTTATAGTTTTTCTCGATTGCTTCAGTACATTTTATGAAACATACCGAATATTCTCCAGACTATAAGAGCATTTCACAAAGTAGTTCATGCATATAGCACAACACTGCGGTTTAACTGCGAAATAATGCATAATGCTGTAACTCACCCAAAACATTAGCAGTTTTTCTTGAGTGCTTTGGCACATTTCAAGAAACATACTTATACTTAGACTATAAGAACCTTTCACAAAGCAGTTTATGCATATAGCACAAAATTATGGTTTAGCTGCAAAAGCCTGTAACTTTCCCAAAACAATTAACTCATGTCTGAAAAGCAAGTAATTCCACCAATGAAGCAGTCAGTGGCTAAATCAAACGTACAATCTGCAACGTTTTAACCATGAGAGTCAAAGTGCTTAGATATACTGTCAAAATGTCAGCATAAAAATGCTACTGAGCTCCAAAATTCTGCAGGAGAATCATTTCCCACTCGCTCACCATCACTGACCATTAACTAACTGATTCTTGTCAAAGACACCATCAATTTCACCATGGCAAGGTTCTACATTACAGTATGTAAAGTTCACTGGCACGAGAAAGCAGTCGCAAGCACATGTACTGTAACATTTTCAGATGTAAAGACACTACAATAGCAAACAAAATAGTCACACAGCAACATCAAAATGTACTGTGGGAATCAGGGGTGGGGGCATTCCTGAATGCATTCAGCAATTCCAGTCCAAATGAAACTGGAGCTGGGAATGGAAAAAGAACTATCGGGAACAGAACTGGATTTGAATTCAAATTTCAGGGAAATTTAAATTCCAGATTAAATTCCATTTCCTGATTTTGGTTGGAATTGATGATTGCATTCTGGAACGGCCCTAACCCTGGTGGGAACTAAAAATACAACAATGCTGTATCACTGCATTGACATTTGAGAAATGTTCCAAAGCAGTCGAGAAAAACTGTAAATGATGCATTTTACAGTTTTTCTCAATGGCTTTGGCACATTTCTCAAACGACAATTAACATTTGCAGAACAGTTAGTGTAATCCCCACACCATAATGTCACTTCTGCACAGCCGAATATCATGTCTTATTGCTTCACACAAATTTCCAAACATTTTGTTGTTATTTTGGTGTTGTTGTATTGCAGTTTTTCTGTTTTTGTGTTATGTGCTGTGTGACTGTTTTGTTCGCTATTGTACTTTGTCTTGAAATATAGAGAAGTTACATATGCATGTGAGTGCTCTCTTTACATACTGTAACGTAGAGCCTTGCAATGCTAAAACTAGTATCTTTGACATGAATAAGTATCAGTTTGTTAAAGAAGAAAGATTAGTCAGTGACAGCGAGAAAGTGGGAAAAAACTATTATTCAGAATTGTGGAGCTCAGGAGCATAATTACACTGACATACTGACAATGTATCAAAGCATTTTGACTGTCTTGGTTAAAACTATTGCACTTTTCATTTTGGTGACACTGACTCATTCATTGATAGAATGATTTGCTTTTGAAACATGAGTTAATTGTTTTGGGTTAAGTCTGCAGCTGAACCTTACAGTCATGCTACGTGCATGAGTTGTTTTGAGAAATGGTCTTGTAGTCTCGAGAGTGTTAAGTTTGTTTCATGAAATGTGCCAAAGCACTCGAGAAAAATTGTAATATAACTCTGAATTACAGCTCATGTTTTTGAATCAAACATTAAGTGACTCATTATTACATTACACAGGGGGAGGATTTGAACCTGGGAGACAAATGGATTAGAGTAAATGACTACTGTACAACATCTAGATTTCTATTGGTTAATGATGTCCATTCAGTAACCAGTAAGATAAATTTGAAGACTTGGTTGTGTGCATCCAGCTTCCCCGGGCGACCCTGATGGATAAAGCGGTGTAGATAATGGATAGATGGATGGATGGTTGTGTGCATGAGTGTCTTCAGAGTGGCCTAGTTCTGCTGTCAGCCATCCCTGGTTTTGTGTCACACCCCTGTCGTGGTGGGAATTTCAGATTTGGATGAGACCTACATGCTCACATGCGCAAAAGGCAGCGAATACTTTCAGTAGAAAGTTTTGTTGAGGAACTTCATGAATTTCGAGTGGGAGAGGGAAGTGTAACCCTGCGGAGCTGCCTGGACCCGTCTTGCTGTCTCATCAGACAGCGGAAGCATTTTCTTTTTGCTCCGGTTGTCTGCTAATTTGGAGAAACCTCCTCAGATGACTTTGAGTCTGGCAGCGATTGTCACATGCAGACACACACCATCACGTCACCGTGCCATGAGCACAGGGTCGCCGGCAGCCCGTGTCGTAGACGGTGTCGTCTGACCCTGAAAGCTGGCAGGTGAGCGAAGGATGAATACTTCAGTACCTGCCATATTTATTTAACTCATACATCCATCCCCATCATTTCTAAAATATTTTCAGATACATCTTATTATCCTGAATCATGTACTTTTTAGTCTAGATGGAACTCAGTCTTTTTTTTTAAGCGGCATACTAGCAGAAATAGTCCACAAAGAGTCAGGTAACGCGATAGGAGTGAAATCTGGCCGGCGCTGCACACTTTGAGACAATAAATCCTCTCTGACAGTTGCACTAGACCTCACTTATGACCTGGCAACTTCAAACTCGCTTGACCTAAGATAGGAGTGATGTTATGGCCATTCGTCTTGACAGCCCTTTCGTGCCAAGGGTTCATTATCAAAATCGGCTTTTCTCGATCTTGCTGAGGAATATGGAGTTCAGTCCTGGCTCCTTCAGTTGTCTCAGAAAATGAAAATACTTATTTCTACAATAAAATGAGGGTTGGTTTATTTTTTCTGGTCTCCTGTGTTATGACTTAAATTTGTGCTAAAAAAATACAGGTTCGTGTCCATGGTGTCATTGTTACATCAACGCCAGTCCAGTCTTCTCTCACAATGCTGTAGACCACTTGGGCCAGACATCTGCACCAAGCAGCATGGCGTCATGTTGTATTTGGAGGATAGGAGCTCAGTTCTGGAGAAGAGAAATGCAGTTTCAGTGATAATGTGTCACGTGTTTAACTCATTCTTTTCTTACCTTCAGCCAAACATTACTGAGGATCCAAGCCCGGCCTTGTGTAAACATAAGGTAAGCCCAGTCTGTTCCCCTTTTGTTTGGGTGCGTTTGAATTAAATGCCGATCAGCAGCATATGTGTATGTTTCCGAACTCTTTTACCCCTTTTGGAAGTGCTTCAATTTAAAATTATATAGAAGCAATTTTTTTTGATCCACATATATAAATCGCCATCAGAATATCTCATCAGCAATATAATATATAAGTATTTACTTGCATAGTAATATCATTAAATAATTTAGACAGCCTGTTGAACAGTAATAACCCTTCAGGTACATTAAATGCTACACATATCAGAATGGAACTTGTTTGTTCCAACCTGGAGTTATCTGCCCGACTGCCTGGCCATACTAACAGGTGAATCTTCGTCTGACTCAAGTGTTTTGCTTGTATTTAAATGTTATGGTATTTGTCCACAGTAAATACCCAGGCTGTATGCAGTGTAAGCAGTGTGAGTGCGGGTGGGGGCGGAGTGACGCTTTGAGCCGTGTTCCATGCAGGGTTGCTCGGAGAGTTTGGCCTGCGCCGGGCGTGGCTTGAGGAACGCCTTCCTGTCACATGGCCCTTATCCTGTTAAAGATCGAATCCAGTTCGCCAGGATCCTGAGGTAACGCTGGTTGCATCACTGCCCCGCCATCATCTTCTCGGCTGCCCGGGGTCATTGCAGAGATGCCGCCCCTTTCTCGGGCTTTAAAGCGCTGACTGAGGAATACACTTGCAGCTGTAATGTATGTCAGTGCTGTAATTCCTTAGGTCTCATTTTTAATTCATAAAACAGAGCCACTTTTATGTAAAGAGTGTTAGGATTTCCATATTAAATAAATGGCATATTCAGCATATTCTACAATTGTAAAACACAGTACTTAGCAGCAGAAGGAGAAATTTTACACTGTTTCATGAAACCCAAACATGGGATTTTCACAGTAGCAGTCAAAAGTTTGGACACGCCTACTCGTAGAAAGGTTTATTTGTACAATTGTCTACATTTTAGATTAATTATAGACATTCAAATTATAAAATAACATATATTAAGCCTGTGTGCCTGTAATCAGAAGTTCGTTGGTTCAAACCCAGCCTCAGCACGTCTGCGGGTCCTTGAGCAAGGCCCTTAACCCCCAGCTCCCTGGGCGCCCCAACAGGTGGCTGCCCTTCGCGGACAGCTTACTCTACGAAGAGCAAGTTGAGAGAGGCATAAAAAGACTATTTCCCCACAGGGATCAAAAAAAGTATCAATTATTATTATTATATGGAATTATGTACTGACCAACAAGGTATTAAACAAAACAATTATTTGTTGAGGGGGGTCCCCCTGTGGGTTAGGACTCAGAAGGTTGCTGGTGCAAATCCCATGGTCGGAGTGATGCCACTGGGCCCTCGAACAAGGCCCTTAACCCAATTACTCCAGGGACTGGCTGACCCTACGGTCTCCTGTATGCCTGTTTCATACATACTTTTCCAGCTGTCCTGACGGAGCTGCCACATATATGCTGAGTCTCCTCCAAAATCATCTCTACTATGCGTAGGTCAGGTAGCCAGGTCATGTGATGCAACACAATCACTCTCCCTCACAGGTGACTTGGCGCATCCAAACTTTTGACTGCTACCAAATATATTTTGTCTCTTCTCAATGTGTGTATGAAGACTGCAGTGAAATGTGTGCAGTGAATACCTCCTAAAACTGGAACTCTTGCATCACCGTGCAATCAAAGAAAACTTCACCACACGCAAAACCTGTTTGTAGGCGGTTTGGCATGTCCAAACTTTTGACTGGTCCTGTATATAAAAAAATGTGTATTTGCTTATGTTAATCAGTGTGAAGCTGCATTCTGAATCACTGAGTCTAACTTAACATGTGACTTTGGTGTATCCGTGCGTCTGTTTAAGTGGATCGACGTCACTGGCAGAGCTAGCAGGGCGGGGGGGGGGGAGTTGGCACCAGGCCCCCCAAATCGTATTGGCCCTGAATGGTGTCGGGCTGAGACCGCGGACCGCGGACCGCAGGGTTTCCCAGGCACACGTGTGATGCAACTAAAATTTCAATAGTTCCCAGAATTGCAAGAATATACACGAATCCCAGCTTTCCCACGTGTGAGGACTTGGTGCCTCCATAGATGTGGGTGGCTCAGTTAATGATCCAAGCCGTAAAAGTAACCTGGAGCCAACACTGACTGACACAGCCCCCCCAATCTTTGCAGGAGGAGCTATGTTGGCGTGGAGCTGGTGCAGTGGCTGGTGGATCAGAGCGAGCTGGTCCCGGGCCGCACGGCGGCGGCGTGCGTGTGGCAGGTGGTCATGGAGCTGGGCGTGCTGCTGTCCGGTGAGGTCGCCCCCTCGCTCCCGTTCCGCTCCACTCAGGTGTTGCCGGCCGTGTTACAGCGCTGCCTCTGTACCGTAGCCTGCAGCAGGTTGCTGTGTTTACTTCCCATTTCCATGGCGCGTGTATCTGCACAGCAGATGTCTCGGTTATGCAGGTTCACAGTATGACAAAAGCACAGCTCTCCACGGCCGCTTCCTCTGGAACAGTCCTATGGTCGTATTTCCCTTCTGTGGCTCTGGTGTCCTGTGCCTAAATCGCGATTGTTCATCGCCCGGTTTTTATTAGCATGGCTGATGTTCTCTCGGCCCTTGTGTATTAGCCTTCCGTTGTGTGTGAGCTAGAACATTCTGCCAAGGATATGTGCGCTTCCTCACCCCCAAGCTGTCAGCGTGGCCTGACCCACTTCCTCCGGATCTGGGCTAGAACCAGTTATGATGATGACGCTGCCAACTTTGAGCCTTTGGGCCATCGATCCTGCTTTTTTTTTTTAGTTTGGGACCAGCTATCAGACTTTCCAGGTTTTTTCACGCTACAGTCGAGATCGAATGTCCAGTGAGCTGAAATCGACCTGCTGAAATCACGCAGAAGATGCCTGTCTTTTCAGTGGACCACAGGGTCAGGTTCGAGGACTCCCACACGTACTACCAGTTCTCCTTTGAGGAGTGTCAGGCCCAGGACTGCGGCTTCCAGGACGAGGACGTGTGGCTGAGCGGAGTGAGACTGCTGCTCCAGCTGGTCCCGAGCAGCCAGCTGCAGGCTGGGGGCACCACCGAGTGAGTAACCCTACGTGACGCACCTGCCAAAGAATCTGGGCGGCGTGGGCTGGAGCTCTCAGGGAGCAGCCACTGACTTCTACTTTGCATGATGCCTCATCCAAACAAAATGGAGATGGGTGGGCACTGCCCCGGAGAGCCAAGGTGACGGGTTAGAGTTGTCACCCTACAATCCTTTGATTACTAGAAGCCCACAGAAACTTTGGTTTGGTTTGAATATGATTTACATACACAAGGAGAAAGCCAGTGGTGAAGACTGCAACTGGCATGAGATAGAAGGCCTTTGTTTTGTCGCACGCATGCTCAGGTTAATACTAACTCTGCTGACATTTAAATGCAACATGCAGCAGAACGGCATATCGGCAGCTGTGTGCAGGTCTGAATATTAAGGAACTATCTCTCTCGCGTTGCCCTCAGATGGGGAGTGTAAACTGTGACTGGTGTAAGGTCAAACTGTAAGCGAGGACAGTAAGCCCCCTGATGTGGGTTGGAATTTATTTTTGGGCTGAGCTGAGGAATGGCTAGGTGTAAAGCGTGGAGGCGGGAGGTGGTGCAGTGCACATGGACGTAGTTTCTGTGAGCCTCCATGTTAGGAAAACAGACTCACAGCACAGGGATACCAGTCCATCACAACACACACACACACAGAGTGAGAGAGAGTCGTCAATTTCAGGAAACCAATGAACCTGACTGCATGTTCTTAGGCTGCGGGAGACCCATGAAAAACACAGGGAGAGCAGACAAACTCCACCCAGGATCAGTATCCCCATCTCTGTCAGTGCCAGTCTAGCACTATAAACTATGCACTATAAACTAAGCAGTATACACTAAGCAGTATACACTAAGCACTATCAACTAAGCAGTATATACTAAGCAATATAAACTAAGCACTATAAACTAAGCACTATAAAATAAGCAGTATACACTAAGAAGTATACACTACGCACTATACACTAAGCACTATAAACTAAGCAATATACACTAAACAGTATACACTAAGCAGTATGCACTAAGCAGTATTCACTTAGCTACTCTGCTGTTTATTTGGATCAGATGTCATGTTGAAATGTAAGACTTGAAAGGAAATTAACAATTGATGAGAAAGCTGCTTTCTGTCATACTTTTTTTTAAATAAATGTCCTAATTCATTCAGTATTATATTTGCAATACTGTGCAACAGTCTTTTATATATAGTACAAAACTAACCCGGATTGTAGAGTAAAAAATATACATTGGGTAGGTTAGGGGGCTAGATCACGTAGAACTTAAAGTATCACATAAAATATCACCTAGAGTTAACATATCACAAAAAATACTGGCCTTACTCGAAATGCATTTGGTGCAGCTCGAACTTATCTTGGTTGTGCTGCATAATTGCTGTTTTTAACAATTTTGTCACCATTTAAGTATTATTTTATTAGTTCAGGCTATAGTATGGGATATTGCCATGTTGTAAATGTATGGTTACTGACATGGGGGACTCATTGGGGGGAGGGGGGCACATCTCACCCAATACTCAAAACAATGACGTTTGTCCTACCCAGTATTTTCCAGGATTTGACTTTTAAAAATATGAATAAATTTGTTGGGAGAACTCAGCTCTTGTCCAACCTACTGACCGAGGAGAATATGTGTGTATATGTCTTCTGATTGTCCACTTCCATGCAAACACACCAAGGTTAATGTAGTTGCAGTACTGTTGTCAACCATCAGGTGTCAGTATGACTGAGCAGATAAACGGCTCACTGTGGTTTGGTCAGTTTTGCTAAGCAGTCCCTTTGTTGATGTCGTAAATGTTTTGTTTCTAAGAATATTTTATATGTTTAGTTATAATGCAAGTGTGACTAAGCATCTGTGTACAGAGATAAGTTATAATAATAGTGCAGTAGTGCTGCATTATATGCATTCAGTAGTGCTGCGCTCCAGGCATTCAGGAGTGCTGCATTATATGCATTCAGTAGTGCTGCGCTCCAGGCATTCAGAAGTGCTGCATTATATGCATTCAGTAGTGCTGCATTATATGCATTCAGTAGTGCTGCGCAACAGGCGTTCAGAAGTGCTGCATTCCATGCACTCAGTAGTGCTGCATTCTCTTCCCCTGCCTTGAAAATAGGTCAGCACCAGTATATGACTCCACACCTCTCCTCTTTCCTTAGTCTTAGAGAGGAAACCCTGATTTGTGTGTGACAGAGTTCATTCAGAGCGTAGAGGAGTTACTCAGAGTTCATTCAGAGCATAAAGGAGTTACTCAGTTCATTCAGAGCGTAGAGGAGTTACTCAGAGTTTGCTATGAATTTCAGGCAAGCTCAAGAGAGGCAGCCTGTGGTGATGCCAGTGTATTATACAGACCTTAACAAACTGATCTTTTTTAATGTTTCTGAAAGATACATAAACCTAAAAACAAATATTTTTAAGTGCAAACTTATTATTATTTTATCTTCAGCTAACTGTTGGTCTAAAAATATATATCTGGTGGTTATGAAATGGGACTTGAAGGTTTATTCTTTCTACTTTTTAAAATGAATCTCTGGTGTAAATGGTAAAATAATGGGTTTCTTGATATTTGGGGGGAACTTCCACAAACTCCGTTATGAAGGTACGAACACAAGTGCAGGATATCCAGGGTCTGGATCGATCCTGTGCAGCAGATGGGTGATGGATGACCTGCCTATCTATGTTCTCTGTGTTCTTCCCTTGTAGACCTGAGGACAAAGTGCCAGAGTGGGAGGAGCTACCTAGCAGGAGCCTACAGATGGAGGCTCTGGAGCGGCTTACTTCCACGGTATCGGTACTCGGGGGGTAGCTGGGCACAGGGGAAGCCTGTGACGTGTTTAAAATTTGTAGATCTACCCGTTTGACTGAGGTGGGGTTACCCTTCACGCTGAAGCGCCACGGGACATTAATTATGGAAAAGCTAACCTTCATTAGGCATTTTGGAAATTACACGCTTGAAGAGTTTAAGTACGCAGTTCTGGGTCATAGGCCACACGTGTCTTACTAAGACGATGACGCGGATGTGTGCATGTATGTATTTGACATCCACCATGAAGGAGCACTGCAGAACAAACTGTTGCCTTTTTCCATGCTTCATTATTGCCTTTTTCCATGCTTCATTATAGCGTTATCTGACTATACAGCATGTCTGTGATCATGCTTAAGAGAGAAACTTTTAATTGCTGCAGATTCCATCCCCGCATGTGTGCACGGATGCCGTCGCTGTTAAATGCTTCCCTTTCTGTTTTCACTCAGGGCAGATTTCCGGTCTAATTAGCTTTGTGCTGATGCGTGCATCTTTGCCAGCGATGGATTCTCTTAATACTCACCTCCTACGCATAAAGCTGTCTCACGGCACATATGCCTTGTTTACACCCCGCACTCCTATCCACGGTCACGCAGGATCTTCCACTGTCCTCGCATTGAACAGATTCATCCCTTTCGCCAGTGGCGGGTTGGTCTATGGAGTGGCCGAGATGAAATCCACCTTAAGCTGAGAGAATTAAACCCATATCTTGTGGAAAGATGATGGCAGTTTCTTGTGGAATGTCCAAGGTCCAAACCATGTAATTGTCTCCTGAATGACATTCTGTTTGTCGATGGCCTGTCTGTCTTTAGGAGTTTGTAGATTTTGAGTTGGGTTAATGTAATTGTAGGACGCGGTTTATGGTTACTTTGGCCAGATGGTTGGTTATATCCAGCCTCGGTGAACCCTTAACTGTGCCAGAGTGATGTCCCTCAGTAGACCTCACCCTTCAGCCACAGTAGACCACATGCATTGCTGTGTAAATCACAGATTTATCACCGGTGCGCTCCTCGGGAACTCTGCGGACTCAGCGCTAATCGCACGCTCTCTCTCGCTGTAAAGTCACAGCTGTTCACGCTGGGCTCGTGAGGTGAATTTTAAAGAGCGGCGTGTTTTTCAGAGCTGTTGCGTGTACGTTTTGAGCGCTTGACTTCTGGGGACATCTTATCGTCGCATTACCAGCAGGGACATTTCCGTTGGCGTCCTTATAGACGGATTGCGGGCGGAGCAAGGCAGGTGACACAAAGGCGTGGAATTTGCACAGACGCATACTGATAACCTCGCCGATGCGGTTACACCATAAGAAGCCCCTCCACCCCCACAGCTGGCTCTCATATTCCTCGCTAAAGCCGGCTGCAGATCCTTTGCCCTCAGGGTCTCCCTACCTTAGAGGTGGTCTATTTGTCATCCGGACACTGACCATATAAACACAATACAGGGTTAGGGTTAGACAAGCGAGTTACATCCCCTTATATCAGGACGTTACGAGCCCCTTGGTGACCGTCCAGTTCAAACAGGCCGTTTATTCCTCTTGATATATGAAATATTACAGCCATTTGTATTCCTGATGTCAATGTTTCCAGCCAGTCGCCACAAGTCCTCAGCTCGTCTACACAGACAATAACTCTTGTATCTCATGTAAATATCCCCGTTGCTTAGATGGTGTGTAAAGACACTGTATCTATGACGTGAAGCCTTCAGAGGGAGGGGGCGAGACCCGCCATGCCACCTAGGGCCCTTTGTCCCGCGAGGCGCGTGACTGGAGGGGGGGGGAGGACATCAGATGCTGGCATTAATCAGATTAGCCTTGTAGAAACTAATGTCATAGTATAATAATAGAATTGTTTATGATTACAATAAACAGTATAAAACACTAACTTAAGTTTTACTTAAGAATTACAGTGTCAATGACTAATCTCAGACTAATCCCTAACCCTAACCCTTCCTAACCCTAACCTCAGACTTCCTAACCCTAACCCTAACCCTAACCCTTCCTAACCCTAACCCTAATCTCAGACTTCCTAACCCTAACCCTAATCTCAGACTTCCTAACCTTAATCTTAGACTTCTTAACCCTAATCTCAGACTTACTTATATCTCCCGCAGGTACAGAATGAACTGGTCCTCGCCCTCGCAAAGAAAGCACAAAGGACGAGTGAGTGTTTCATTCATCACTGACTCCTCCCCCAGAACAGTGTGTATCGTATGACTCCTCTGTGGTTTTCGTGTAGCTCATTTGAATATTTATAAGCATTTAATCATGTGACATGACATGTATGCAGATGAGGCGTTCGAGGTCCTGCTCCCTTTGTGTCAATCCCTCCCTTATGTAAATGTCCCATGATTCCCAAAACACCAATTATTCCATGGTGCTGATGAGCTTATCAGCTGGCCGGGGATGTTCCCGACGCGGGACAGCCGATGATTCTTATTTTATTTACATCTCCGCTTAATTGGAACTCCCTGTCTTGTTAATCAGCTCGTTTCCGCCTAATTCGTCTCGCGGAGCCTCCATCTCGTGGGCAGGGGCGACCACATTGCTGAGCAATGAAACACCGCTGGTGATTCAGGTGCCGATCCGGATCCTGGGGGGTCTCATGCCAATCCCGCCATTAGGATCGTTTGCCTCTGTGGCTGGTGTGAGGCCGACATCTCTGCCTGCCTTAGGGGGTCAGCCGTACGACCCATTCATCGCAAACCCAGGCGCGTATCTCAGCTGTGTGAGAGGCCAGGTCGCTGCAGGTAGAATATTCCGGGCCCTGCTTGCTGACTTTGGACTTGCCCACAGTCACCTCCACTGAGGCCTCTGAATTCAGGGCACCTTAGACATGTGCTGTTTGGTTGTTTACACTGTATGTTGTATGTGTCATGAAGTCTGTGAGTTAGTCCAGCACCTGAGCGTGTGTGCATGGGTAAACATGTCATTTACTGGTCATCCTGTGTTAAAACAACAGCTCCCTGTTCGCCCTTTGCTGGGGGGGAGGGGGGCAGCTCCCGGCACATTACCATAAGTCCCCCCCTTCCTCTGTCTGACTGCAGGGGCAGGGGAGGGAGGCTCGGGGCCAGTCGAGAAGGCAGCAAGCGCGACGGAGAGCCCCGCGGAGAGCACGGTAAGGGAGGTCATGCCGAATTCAAATGTAACACATTCACACTTCCTGCATGTGGCCTCCCACAGAATCATGGGAGGTTTTTCCATATTTTTAGTCATAATCGTAAATAAGCAGAAAGCATTTTCTTAAGCAACTGGAAGGACTTCTGAGGTCGCTGGAGGTCACACAATTATCGATGTCAGAAAATATGCCAGCTTCTATTGAGTTGTTGACCTGTAATAACTGAACTTGTCATACACTTCATCTTTTTTTAGTTCACTGAAAGTAATAGAAAAAGCCTTTCTCTGGTTCTGTGTATTCCATGGGGATGTGGGCTTGTCACTGTCACATGGACTGTATTAACATGAGTGTCACGACACTGGAATGTCATATTCTATTCTGCTGAGCCACTATGCGAAAAATCCTGTTCGACTTTGCTTACAGTACAAATGGAGAGACGAGTGTCTCATGATTTTTAGGCGTGTGTGCGGTTTGTCGGGAACCTCCAGGGTTCGTACCCCGTTCTGGTTGCGTGTGATATAAATTCTCGTGTACCGAAATTGTCTGCAGGTTCAGCTGCTCAGAAAGCTTGGAATTCACTTTGTAAAAGGCCACTTTCCCTAGGAAGTTAGACGTTCCCAGCCTGACCTTTGGGCCAGTAAAGCTATAAATGCGAATTCAGGAGCATTGTTTTAATGTGTGGCACAGCTGAATGGTCATCTGCCTCGCGGGGACGTGCAGCCCTGCCAGGCGTCCCAAACACACAGCCCCAGACCAGGCAGCCTCTGCCCCCCCCCCCTCCAAACTGCTGTAGCTTATCTCTTTCCTTTTCCCACCATTCTGTAAATTACCCCTGATAAGAGTACATAACCAGGCTCCCAGACTCCCAGAATGCACCCTGATCACTGCCCCCCCTCTTACTTCTGGCAGACCCAATCAGCCCCCCATACCACCCTACTTTCCCTTCTCAGATCCTCAATCTGAGACCCCCTTGACGAGGCCTGAACGGTAGTCAGATGTTTCCTGCCCCCCCCCCCCCCCCCCCCCCCCCCCCCCACTGTCCCTGCCAACCCCACCTCCCCCGGCACCTCGCACAGCTTGGGGGAGTGCCGAGTAGCCTCATGCTAGCTCACAGAAACGCGGACACACCTTCGACCAGCTTCTCCGCTCAGTGCCAGCCGGCGGTCTGCACACCCGGGGAGGGCAGCATGTGCGGGGAGTAAGGAGGAGAGAGGGGAGTAAGGAGGAGAGCGGGGAGTAAGGAGGAGAGAGGGGAGTAAGGAGGAGAGCGGGGAGTAAGGAGGAGAGAGGGGCAGCTGAGGTGCAGCACCACACGCCGGCCGCGCCCAGCACTCTCCGCAGAGGAGGACGGCGTCAGAATCAGAGTTGATCAGCTACCTCCTCCCATCTCCAGTGACTGCCTGGGTTTACTGGCATGGCCTGGGACTGTGGATTGAAGTTTGTGTTCTCTCTGACCCCTGCCCTGCCACAGGGGGGAGTGTGCGCGCTGCGGGGCAAGGACGACACGTCCCGGCTGGAGGTGGCCCGGGGGCTGGCTCAGGACGGGTGCCCTTTCCTGCAGAAGCAGAATCCCAAGGTGCCGGATCAGCGTTCAGAGGTAAATGGCTTTGTGATTTATTTTCTTCTTCCCTCTGGCTGCGGGGCCATCATTGGCTCTTTACCATCCAGGGTGGTGGGGGCCCACGAAGATGCTGCCGGCTTTATTGGGTTCAGCCATCAGCCTGTTTTATGTCTTAGAGTCGTCATTAATTAAATTCGACAGTTTAAGCTGACTTAGCTTGGGGGTATATTATATTAGAATGGATTATAATTGCGGTTGTGTTCGCCTTCCGGCGTATAATGCAGATTTCAGACACCTATTAATCATCGTTAGTTGCTGTGTCGCGATCGCCCGGGGAAATGCATATTTTTCAATTTCCTGACAATCAGATATAACTCAAGCACATGTTTATGGAGTATGAAAATGAGGGTAGCCAAGCTTAAATGTAGGATTTTAAGTGTCAGTTAATCATGTTGACGTAGGCGAATGTAGAGACGGAGCTTTTAGAGAATGGCCGAGAAATTTAGCGAAAACAGTGACAAGTGAGTGACATACATAAGCCTGCGCTGGGAAATTTCGGGAGAAGGGGGTTTCTCTTTTAGTCTAATAGGTCTGGTCATTTTTATTATAGTTTATTTTAGATCCGTTTAGATTAGAAACCTTTCGGTGGGTATGTCAAATCCTACGGGTTCTTACAATTCAGCTACGTGTAATTGCATTGAAATACTGGGCAGATTGTGGTTTCATTCAAAAAGTTCCCAAACATGATCCTCTCTTCTGCATCTCCCAAAAGAGTTTATTTTTCATTTTCTCTATTTTTAGCTTGTTTTCTGTTAAAACTAATAGCGTCGACATGATGCTTCCCGCACACTAACCTCATCCTTTTGCATTCAGTGCAGACGCGCTGATCTTTGCAGCCTACGGTTCAGACTGTCTCTGCCTGTTTTGGGGCTCAGTTGAGTGGATCTCAGTCTGAGATGCTTCTGAACCAATGATACGTTCTGATTCAGGGGGCGGGGCGGCCGACACCTTTCCGGCCCGAATGCGCGCAGCTGAGTGGTCACAATGGCAGGAAGACCCGTCACAAGCAGCAGCGGCCAGCTTTTATTTTTTAACGAGCCTCATTAGGCCAAATCTATGATCAAATCTTCATTTGAATACTTGGGGCTTTTTGACCTTTGCTTCTGCGGTTCAGTCACACCCAGTCCTGCCCAGTTTCCTCCCCCATACAGACGCCCTCAATATCACATCACTGATGATAACATCATGCCCAACAACCTGTCTTTTGTAGTAATAAATGTCATTTCTGATGTCCTTATGATAGGACTGTGACCAAACTTGTTCTTGGGTTGAATATGTCACTATTATTATATTGTCAACCCACCCACCCATCCATTTTCTGGAACCATATTTAAGGTCACGGTATAGTGTCAGCTACAACAAAATTAATTATTAAATATTACAGTCAAAAGGAGTAAAACATAACTCTTGCCCCGCTGTAAATTTGCCAGGCCTGGGTTCGAATCTTATTTAAACACCCTTGGATGTATAGCGAGTGTTGAGCCTTTGCTTACCACAGCAAAGGCGAGAACCGTAACCTCAGCACCAATAGTAAATCGTATCATCTAGGATTGCTGCAACACAGACAGAGACTGACAGTCTGCAGTGTTCAGAGAGGCCACAGCAAGAAAGTCCTTGATTTACCTGTAAAGAGAGTCAGACTTAATTGATATATGAGGTTTGTTTTAGGCTAATGCAGAACTGTCTTATAATAATATATAAATATCGGGACAATTATGGACTTCAGTTTCTCTTCATTATTCTATTAATATTTTAATGCGCAGAGCAGCTTAGTGCATTGTTTACTGCACCTTTGCATAGCAAGTAACCCAACAGCTGTGCATGCTAATTAACTTAGACCATAAAGCCAAGGCTGCAGGCAGGCGCTGCCCCTGCTGGGCAATGCCTGCTAGTGCACTCACATTTTCCTGAAGTGCGTGTCCCAGCTCGTTCCAGCCAGCCGGACGATTAAGGCGGGATGGTTGATTTGAACTATTTAATAGCACAGAGTTGAGGTACCGTGTGATAAGACAAATGGGGCCACATAATTAAGTGTCCGCTGACAAGCCTGACAGTCTGGGACTAACACTGCATCGGGATCGAAGCCTCTTCCATTACCGGCGATGCTGTTTTTCCGCTACGTTTTTTTCATACTATCTGGAAGAATGTCGGAATGTTTAACTTGAAAAGCAGCACTATGGCTCCTAGTGGGGAAAAAAAAAAAACATTTTATATACCTGCACATAAAATGAATATTTGGTTATCGCTGGAATGATCCTTTCATTGTTCTGCTATGGGTATTAAAAAGCATGAACAGTACTGGGATCAGTAATGAATGAAAACATCTGTAATCCAAGGCCGAAACTGCAGCGCAAATCTGGTTCAGTGAGACGTAGGGATCCCTTTACCATATTCGCAAATACTGCAAAAACATTACACTTAAGATCATTCGGCAGCTGCGGTCCAAGGCAACCAGGCCCCATCGTTACCAGGGTAACCTTGTATAATGACACAAATGCATCCGGGGAAAAAATACCCTTCCTCCGCCATCAATCTTCGGAGAAGTGGTTGAAGTCATTTGTCATTTGTTTTGGGAATTAATTGAAATGTTTGCTGAAAACTGATCGGCTGGTGGTTGGCTGGTTGCTTTGGGGCAGGGTAATGGTGTTTCAAGTGAAGGATATTAGCAGCCGGACGAAATATTCAGAGCAAGTAGAAATTACACCCAGGTCCATCAACCCTAGAATGATGGCTCTCTAAGTTATAAGCAATTTCCCTGTTTCAGCCAAACACATCAAAGGAATCTTGTTGTCTGAAAGAAGTTGGTGCAGAATGTACCGCGATCAGATGGTTTCTGTTGGGATTTACTGTTGTGCCTTGTACCCCCCCCCCACCCAACCTGCTTCAGATTCTCCTTCTGGAAGGGAAGCAGTCTGCAACATGGTGACCGTGATGATTTACATTTATATTACATGATCTGCTTGGTGGACCTCACTCTCCAGGGCTAGACCTCAAGCGGCAGGCGGCAATAACATTGTTCTAGGTGGAGTTTTCACTCACAACTTTCATGTTTGGGCAAAGCGAATGTAAAAAAATTATAATAATAATTCTGGATACAGTCATCACAGCCACACACTTATAGGGCTCGGGGTTGGAATTCGGCCCCCACCACTGTGTGGGTGGGGAGTTTGCAGGTTCGCCTGGTGTTGCGTGGTTCCTTCTGGGTTGTGGTTGCATCCCGTAGTCCAGAGATGTGCAGTTATGAGGTGGCTTCACTAAATTGCCCGTAGTGAATAAATTTGTGTGTGTGTGCCTTGTAATGCGTTGGCGTCCTGTCCATAGTGCTCCCCTGCCCTGTTCTGTTGAAAAACACACCATGACGGCATAACACCTGAAAAATGGGCCATTTAATGCAAGGAATGTAATAACATCTTTCATCTTTTAAGCAGGAAAAAACACCCAAACAAGCAAAGGCTTTTTTTCGGATGGGTACCGCATGGAAATCAGTGTCTCGCAGTTTCGTGGGTTTGAGGTCCAGCTGGGCTCTTAATTAATTTGCCATCATTAAAGCATTTATTTAATGCATCGCCCAATTTAAATTATGCTAAGGGACACAGATTTCTTACAATTTTTAATTGCATTAATGTAAAAAAAAAAACATACTAACCACACAACTTTTACATGTCTGCTAATGAAATGACATGAAATAAAATAACTCACATTTTGTAATTGTATTTAGATTAATCAGTAGTTTTTTCATGAGCTATGAATAAGTAAGCATTGATTAATATAATTAATGAACACTGTTTCCCTTATAGTTAGGGACAAAACCAATGATACGTGCAGTTATTCTCAATATTTTAGCACTGGAAATTCTTAACTTGATTTTAAACTATTCATTCAGTCAAGAGCTCCAAGAAATGTAATTATTAAAATGCTGAACTGCACTGAACACACTGCACTGAAGATGGATATCGAGGACAGATAAACACCACTGATGCCAAAAGATGTTTCCATTCAGAAGATGTTTCCATATATTTTAGCTTTTGTTACCTCTGATCTTCCTTTGCAGAGATGGACTCCCAACATGGAGTCTGTCTTGAAACCCTTCATTCGGATTTCTGGAAGCCAGAATTGTAGCCTGCTCTGTCTCCTTCTGTCTGTCCTTCATATTCTCCTGTATGTTTTGTGGCAGAAGCAACATGAAGGGAATTAATCCGGGATCCCTGCCTACAGCCTGTACAAACAGGAGTTCCCTTCTTTTAATCCCCCGTTCTGGGAGTTGCAGGTTTCCCTCTCGACTAAAGCTGACTGTCTGCATCATTGTTAAGGTTTTCATGACCAAGCTTTTGGCCCCCGGATGTAATCGTAGGGTATTTGTACATCATTGTTTCATGGTGATGTTTGTGTATTTATTATGCAATGATGTGAATTAATTACTGATGCTAATGTGGTCAGAAGGGCTGTACCAGGGAACTGTTGACGCGGTCGTCAGAAGTCAGACGTATTTTGAGAGCCGCTGAGCCGTTTAGAGCTGGTTCGCCTAATCGCATCGTGTGCTCGCTGAAGCGGAAACCGGCGGCGGCGAGGAGGCGCGTGTGACGGAGGCAGGGGGCTCTCGTGGTGTCCCGGCCTGTTCATCAGGTTCAGCCACCTCTCCCATAAATGATCGGGGAAGGAAAGCACCGCAGGGGGGAGGGACTCGATGATTAGAGACACGCTCTGTATAGGAGGGTGATGGCTTGGGGGCGGAGACTTTGGGGGGCAGGATTCTTCCCCTTAGAAGAATTCAGTAGGAAACACTAAGGGCTGGGAGCTTCTTATGGAAATTGTGAAATTAGACAGAATCGCCTGTCTGAGGCCCATCAGATGCCAGCATATCATTTCTGACTGAAAATGAGCGAGTTTGCTGTGGCCAAGCAGTGCCACACAGTCAGTAGATAGCACTGCTTAATCTTTCGTTGAGGTCATGCATTGGAACATAACAGAGCAGCCATGTTTGTTTTTGGGACCGCAGAATAATACCAAGAGGTGGGCTTTAGGAAACGATACCGATTTTTAAAAGGCTCTTTGTGTCAGAAAGCGCTCTGCCTTATCAGGGAGAATGAGAGATGTTTTCCGCCAGGAGGGAGACAGTCACTCTATCTTGGCAGGTTAGTGAAATGGCTGCTGCTCTGCAGGATTGACACTATGTCTGCAGTTTGGTGTCGTGTCCCATCAGTGTGAGACTGATGTGGGACAAAAATTTCAGCCCACGGTCGGGGCGAGGGACAAGGAGCCGGGGATTGGGGGGGGGAGTGGGCCGGGTGTGGATGTTAAGAGATGCCATAGCTGTGCCAGGAGAAGCCGGCTGGGACTGGGGGGGGCGGGAATGTGGCTTATCTTATCTGCCCCCATCTGTCCCTGTCTCAGCAAGCAAGCCGAGGCAGCCTTAATGCAGCCCCCGCAAGCCCCTGCCCCATGAAACAGGGCACACGGGGGAGCTTTTCAAGTGAAAGATGTCAAGATGAAAGGAGCAAATTGTATCTGTCCAAATGCATGAAGGCGGTTCGCAAATCGGGCAATGAAAGTTAGAGATAATAAAGAGTCGGCCGTGACAGAGATCAGAGAGCAGTTACCAGTTATCTGATTTCTGATTGTGTGTCCCCAACCCCCCCACTCCCCCCACCCAGGGTCACGGTGACGAGGCTGCCCGTGTCGTACAGTCGGGACGGCACCGGGATGTACTGCTGCTCCAGCAAGTGCTGTCGAAACAGCTGCCCCCACCTTCCTTGGGGAGGGGGAGTCGGCAGGAGGTAGACAAGAGGTTAGCATCTCTCTCTCTCTCGCTCTCTCTCGGTCTGTCTCTCTCTCTCCCTCGCCCGCTCGCTCTCTCTCACTCGCTGGGAGACATGCACTAAGCGGCAGACACTCGCTCGCCTGGACCCGGTTACTGCAGCACACCGGACACAGACGGCTTTGCGGCTCCAGCGGGGGCTTCCGTGGATGCCGGCTGAGCGAGGGGGGCATTCCAGCTGTCAGACCGGAAGAAGACAGGCTGGGGGGGCAGGTGGGGAGAGAGGGAGAGGCTCTTCCTCCGTAATGCAGTAGAGGCAGTGAACCGGAGGGGGGACCGGACCTGGGGGCAGGAGGCTTGGGGTGTGTGTGGGGGGGTGGGTGTTCTCTCGACAGCATGCGGCAGTGACAGCGGCAGCCATCAGCCGCCCCTGGAGCGCAGGGACAGTAGAGGATGGGCAGCCAGAGGCTTCGATCCCTGGATCTGCAGCTGGAGGACAGGCTGCCGCCCGCAACCCTGGTGGAAGAGGAGGAGGATGACGAAGGCTCAGAGGACAGCGCCAGCGGGAGCAGTGCCGAGGGGGTGTCGGTGCCCACCTTCGACGTGCCCTACTTCCGATACATCGATGAAGAAGGAGAAGATGAAACAGAAGCGGAGGAGTGGAGCAGCAGCCACTCACTGTCCCTCGCCGAGGAAGACTCCACCGACTCTTCCTCTCCTGTGTCCGACAGGTATGTGGTGGTGTCCGGGACGCCCGAGAAGATCTTGGAACACCTGCTGAGTGACCTGCAGCTGGATGGCCAGCAGGAGGCGACGCAGTGCAAGGAGGCCGGTAAGAATCCCGAAGGGCCACCTTGGTCCGCGATCCGCCCCACGCGATCCCCCCCCCCCCCCACGCGATCCCCCCCAATGCGATCCCCGAGATGCGTGGAAATAGCTAGACGGGTCCTGCCTTGGTGCTGGATCGTGAGTCCTGAACTGAAACTGAAAGTCGTTAAACACGCAGGCAGTCCTCCGATCTGCGTGGCCACAGGACAGTGGCAGGTGACACTTGGGGATGTGTGGGAAGGCGTGTGCTCGTCCCCACGCCGGTGGCTGACATGCGCGTGGCCCTAATTCGGCTGTGTGAAGATTGGATGTCATATCGTCACCTCTGGTTGGTAAAGTCTACCGCGGGTCTTTATAGCACGAGGATGATCGGACCGCCCAGTCCCATGAGGACATACAGTATCTGACATGCAGTTTGGGTCTGGTTAGGATTTTCGGAGCATCGGTGTACATCCCTGGGCGGCAGCTGCGGAGGGACAGGAGGCCGGCGTTTGTGCTGTGGGATGGAGATGGAGGCACTCAGGGGTGACTGGAGGAGCAGTGGGAGACGGGCGGGGTGGGAGGAGGTGGGGAGGCTGCACTCCTCACACGACTGAATTATTAGCATGACATCAGCGCTTAAGTCGGACTCCTGGGCGAGCGGAGCGGCCTGTGCCTGAGAGAGAGCGAATGCTAATGTGTATGACTGGGGAACCACCATGTCTGCAATGGACATGAGCAGCTGAAGTGTATTTATGAAGAACTGGAGGTCTGAGGAGGACGTAAGTAAATAAGAGCAGCATCCCAGCTAGAGTTTCCCTCCACCTGCATCCTGAGCTGCCTGGGAAAGGCTGCCAGCTAACTACAGCACGGCACTGCATATATAGCGGTTATGGATGGATGGATGGATGGAGGGATGGATGGAGGGATGGATGGGCGAATAGATAAATGTCAATATGCATGACAGTGTTTCCCGTAGGTTTACAGCTTGGGGGGGC